CTCACAAACTCCACTTGGTGGCAAACATTTGGGAACTTTCAGAGATACTTCAGTTTTCCACAGCATATTATTGCCTTACAGTTTACATAATGAGGCTTGCACAACTCACACAGATCTTGACTTAAAGGTGTCTTTTAACAAGTACACTCACCTCTAATGGGGTCAGATAGGTCAAAACTCACAGTCAGCTCTGTTTGCACCTATGAGTTGCAAATAAGATATTTGCTGCATGAGTTGGTACCCACACCACTGCAAACCGTCTAAGAGGGAAAACAGCTGTGATCTAAAAGGTTCTTGTTGCGTACAACTGCAATGGGTTTGAGTGGCATTGATTCAGTCACTAGAGCTGAACTGAAACCACAGAACAGAATCAGATTGAAGAGATTTAGCAATCAAAACAAGCACCTTTGTTTTTCCTTTCAGAATAGTTCAACCCAGGCCAAACGTGAACTGATTCATTTCTTTCTCTGACGACAAAGTGCTGAATCATGAACAGAATGTATTTGAAATTAGCATATTATCCAGATACTAATCACAGCATGTTTAAATAGTTTACCCAAGGTTTCTATACTTAGTTCATGCCAGCACCTCTAGTTTGTTGTTATATAGTTTTGGACACAAATCTGCTTAAATGTGTGTAGCGTCTGGTTTCCCATCAGTCTCTATGCATCTCTCCCTCCGTTTCTGTCATTCAGTGTCGCTGTGCCTGCAACGTCACTCCTGGTCCTGCCACTAACCGGGTCTCTCCTTCTTTCCCTTTTTCTCTCTTTAAATGCTCCCTTTCACACACTTCCCCTCATCACCCCTTCCTCCCTTTCCTCGCTGCACTGATGTCTAAGTGTAGCAATGTCCAGTGCATGGAGTGTGCCACTGTCTGCAGGTTGTATCTGAAGCTGCATGCTAAGAGCTGGGGATAGATGATCCTAATGAATGTTTTGGACCATCAGCTAGTGGTGGGAGGGGTTAGGAAGACGAGCTGAAGTTGATTGGGGCTTTATTTACCAGTTGACGGAACGAGAATGTCATACTTTTTAGTCAGGACTTTTGTCTGACACAGTTTTGTGGTTTTAAGTCACGTGGCTAGAAGACAGTTTATATCAGTACCCAGATGTCCATTCACTCTTTCTACACTGAAGCACCTCATAAATTCCTGCTGAAAAACAAATGCTTTACAGATATTGACAGTAATAATGAAAAACTTTAATTACTCTATTCACTTCAGTTACCAAAAAATCCTAATATACTTATTCATTTTTTTAAAACGCATTTAACAATTAAAGTGTTAATAAAGGTAAAAAATAAAAAGAAACTAACAAAAAAAGTAAAACAAAAGAAAACAAATTACTAAAAAAACTGTCTAGTTTGTAAATATGTATATCTTTTTTATTTTTATTTTGTTCATAGCCTCTTAGAAATATTGACCACAGCATAGAAAATACTGAAAGAAAATCAATGTGATGTTTCATTGAAGTGGGTTTGTTTCTGTATTTATTTTAGCCCAAATTCAATGAAATGAGAACATGTAAAACCAACAATATGCATGTATTGAATAACTTGCTTGGAAAAAAGTTCATAAAAAGCATAGTTTTGTCTTACAGTTTGAAATCAAACCTATATTTATAGTTTTAATCTACAACCAGTAGAAACAGTTATAGAAGAAATTTATTTTCAATTACATTTTTATCATATGTTTTCATGTATAAACATGAAAACATATTACTTCTCACTTTGAAGTTGTCGAACCTTTTTATCTAAAGTCAGTGTAGTCGCCAGGCTGATACCAGCCAGCCAGGTTTATTTAGCAACTCAGCACTAATTGTAGATGTCAGTGTTGCATTTTAGTGATAATATTTCATAAAGCCAGTGATTTTCCAGAATTGATCAGTGACTTTAGTGAACATTCTCTCTTATAACACAGAGAATTCACAGTATAGAATAGAATATAAATAGCATTTATTGTATCGTAGATGGCAAATTCAGGTTAAACAGCAGCAAATATAGAGGCAAGTCAAATCATGTAGGTTCACAAAAAGATTACAAAATATATAAATATTAAGTACAACAGGTTGCAAAGTAAGGCCAAGTATACGACATAAAAAATAATACAGCTATTAAAAAGCAACGTGCTTTAGGAGCTTACACAATACTTCCTCTCCTTACAGCTTTTTCCTGACAAAATACTTTCAGGAGTTTATACAATACTTCAGAGGAGCTGACAGCTGTCTTTGCTGGAACATATTGACTCTCTGCATCGACATCACTTAATTATTCGAGGGGCCATGATGTACACGTTGGAAGTGAGGGATGAGAGTATTGAATAGAGCAACTGAAATTGTTTTTCCAAGTTGTTTTTTCCAGTTTATTCAAGTCAAGCTAATTTGTCTGTAAACATAGCCCACCTGGTAGGGGCTTATAGACGGCGATATTTACAAAAGTTGAAAATAGCTAGCTTAGAAATTGACCCATGCCTCCTCCCTCTTGACATGTTGATCAAATTACTGATTTTTGCCTGAATTCATACTGCAGGTTTTACAGTGGGTACAGAAAGTATTCAACCCTCTTTATATTTTTCACTTCTTGTTAATCAATTAGCTAAAATCCAAAAAGTTGACATTATTGCTCATGTGTGTACACTCAGCATCCCATCGTCACAGAAAAAAACAAAAATGTAGACATTTTTGCAAATTTATTAAAAAGGAAAAAGTGAAACATCACATGGTCGTAAGTTTTCAGACCCTTTGCTGTGACACTCATCTTGAACTCATGCTGTTCAGTTCTTCTGATCCTCCTTGAGATGGCTTTACTCCTTCATTGGAGTCCAGCTGTTTAATTCATCTGAATGGACTTGATTAGGAAAAGCACACACCTGTCAATATAAGACCTCACAGCTCACAGCGCAGGAGAATGAGAATCAGGAGGTGGAAGAAACTACCCAAGGAGCTCAGACAGGACTGGATCAGACTGGATCAGGCTAAGGTCACTAAAGAATCTTTGCAGCCCTCAAGGTTCCTGAGGGCACAGTGGCCTCCATTATCCTTAATGGAAGAAGTTTGGGACGAGCAGAACTCTTCCTCAACCTGGCTGTCCAGCTAAACGGAGCAATCGTGGGAGAAGAGCCTTGGTGAGCGAGATAAAGAAGAATCCAAAGATCACTGCTGAGCTCCAGAGATGCAGTAGGAAGATGGTCAACAATCACTCCAGCTCTCAGTCGGGGCTTCATGGCTCGACGGAAGCCAAGACATAGGAAGGCCTGCATAGAGTTTGCCAAAAAACTCATGAAAGACTCCAGACTATGAGAAATAAGATTTTCTGGACTGATGAGACAAAGATAGAATTTTTTGGTGTTAATATATATATATTTTATATTTCTTTCTCCAAGGTTTTTGTTGGCTCTAGTGGACCTTATTTGAAAGTAGACTGACAGTACAGAGGGTAAGGAGAGAGGGGAAGACATCCAGCAAATGTCGCCGGGTTCAGGAGTCAAACCTGCGACGGCCACGTCGAGGACTAAGACCTCCAAATGTGGGCCGTGCTAAACCCCAACGCCACCACAGCACGCCCTCGGCGTTCATTTTAAGCAATATGTGTGGAGGAAACCAGGCACTGCTCATCACCTGCCCAATACAATCCCAACAGCTGCAGGGACAGGATGATCTGTTACAGTTGAAGCAAAGATGAATGTGGCCAAATACAGAGATATCCTGGAAGAAAACCTCTTCCAGAGCTCAGGACCTCAAATGGGTCAAAGGTTCACTTTCCAACAAGATAATGACCCGAAGCACACAGCTAAAATAACAAAGGAGTGGCTTCGGAACATCTCTGAACATACTGGACTGGCCCAGACGGAGCCCTAACCTAAACCTAATTAAGGAGAGACCTGAAAATGGCTCCATCAACGATCATCATCCAACCTGATGGAACTGGGGAAGATCTGAAGAAAGAATGGCAGAGGATCCCAAATCCAGGTGTGGATAGGGGTGCTTCCGATCACTACTGAGTAAAGGGTCTGAATACTTATGACCATGTGATATTTCAGTTTAGTTTTTAATTAATTTGCAATAATGTCTACATTTTTGTTTTTCTCTGTGAAGATGTGAACTTTTTGATTTATCAAGTGGTTTCAATGAAACAAAGAGTGAAACATTTAAAGGGGTCTCAATACTTTCCATCCTATGACAATTTTTACAGTGAAATCAACAAAAATGCAATATTAAATTACAGATGTGTGTTTTTTTTCTGACAGTGCAAAGATTGTTTTGACCACAGTCATGGCGCAGTGGGCTGAAGAGTGTAATGTCACATGCAAAGGGTCAATAGGTTAAATATTCCAGGAGCCAGGGTATAATGAATTGACCTCTAACCTGGTAGGAACTGCTGCATAGACAATCTTCACCTGCTTTAATATAAGATCATGAATATAAAGAATTTAAAAATTCTTAACAGTTGATAAGCAACACTTTAACTGAAAGTTTGCAAAACTAAGTAAATTAGCACTTTCAAATGTATTCAGAAATATTGATTTAGGGGAAGTTAAGAGTACTAGATCTTTTTAAAGTTAGCAAAAATGCTAAACAAAACATTAGCTTTGCTAATAGCACATTAAACAAAGCTACAACTGGACTGCCTTGGTACTTGAAGGTCCACTCCAAGTTTGAGGAAAATCATTTTTGAGATGTGGGAAAGCAACTTGTAATTTGAAATAGTTATATTAATATTCTATATTTTATATCTTATATTATTCTTATATTATTCTATGTCTTTCATTCCAATGCAGAACTTTAGTCTTTTCACTATAACATATGTTGGTGAGATAAATAATGTCAATCGATTTCAAAGACAAATCACAGGATGTATGTGAGACAGGGAATAAAATGAGCCACTCTAGCCACGTCACTGTCCACATTACAATATGGCTGCACAGCCTCCTCTGCTGTGCATGGACTACAGTGGAGTTATGTGTGAAACAAAGCTAACTGAACTGGTCTTTCCCTCCCTCATTCCCTCTGCAACAGATGATGGTCAATAGGACTACTGAGGTATACACATCCCCCTTTAATTCACACACATTTGGTTCTTTATCATCCCTTTTTCTTCTGTCCACCGCCGTACCTAGTCTTGCAAAGTAACCATCATTTGGGTCATTTTATACTTTCTCTGTTTCAGTTGATTTGGTACAGTTTATTCAGATTCCACCATGTATGGCTGACAGGAATGGCTAAAGTTGCTGTCCCCTGCACAGTCCATAAATTTCATTACGTTGCATTAATGTAACATAATTTTTTATTTTCCTTTCTTATGTTTATTCCCCTGAGAAATTCATTTTTCCATCTGGAATCCTCAGTGCCTTTTTTAAATATCATAAGCATCTCTGAGTAACATAATGAATTGATGTGATGCCCTAATTTGATGCATATTGTGCTGATGCCTTCCTGAGAAAGTTGTCTGTTATTCTGTTATATGAAGCAATAATGTTTGTTTCTGTTGGTGTTGCATGGTCTCCCTTGTTGCACTCTTAACTAGTTGCTAAAAACTTAAAGTAGAAGCAATGTACTGACGCATGACTGATGTAATAATATAACACAAGTGCTTTAATGGATGACCAAGGCTGCCAAAATGAAACTGAAATTTTAAATTCAAACTTTATTTCCCAGTAGGGTTTGGTGAAACATCATTTTAACTTGGTGTTAAAATGAAGAGTGAAGGGTCAGTTTCTCCGGTCTGCTGAGGGATGCAGCTAGCTCAGAATTACACCTGCATTCTTTACTTTCCATTCTGTGAAACATTCCAGCAACAGTTTTTCCACAATTATCAGAGATTAAGCGTGAGGATTTCCATAGAGCACACAAAGAAAAATGATTCTGTGGTGAAGTAAATTTAACATAATTGAATCTGTGAAATCGACGAAAAATATTCAAGTTAGTATTTTCACACAAATATATTTCGTATTGAGGTAACAAATATTTATTCAAAATACAAGTCATTGATACTTTTTTTCCAAAAATAAATGAAGTACCAAGAGCCTATCTTTTGTTGTGGAAATGTCAGTTATCAAAGTTTATCAGAGTTTGTTCCAATAATTAGAGAAATATTCATCATTGTCTTTATTTTTCTTCAGACAAAAGCATTTCAAGACTCATCTCACTGAGCACAGTGGATCACATGTTTATATTGTCACAGCAGAAAAAGCACACACCCAAAGTCTGAACTTATCTCCATTACTAGGTGGATAACAGCTTTATCCTTTGTCATGCAGCTGCCCTTCACCTCATTGGAAACAAGGATTTTAGTAAAGATTTGGAAACCCAGACCCGACATCTACAGCAGGAAATGAGAGCTGACAATGATTCCAACCACAACTTCTAGTTCTTTATCAGTCACTCACAGTTACAGGCTCTCTCATACTTACACAGTAACAAAATTAAAGAAAAACATTCATTTACATAAAACATTATTTTTTCTTGACATAAAATTAAAATGAACTTAAGTTCATTCACACAACAAAAGAAAATTTTGTTGTCTTTATTTCATTCCATAATTCAAAACCTCAAATATTACCCATAAGCCACCAGAGGCACCAGAGTGTCATTTGAAGTAAAGGGAATTTCCATCTAGCACAAGTCAAGAACATGATTTTTTTAGTTTATGTTTACATGTTTTGCTTATGTACAGCTAAAAAAATCTATTACAAATAATCTACAAAGTTAATACTTAAATTGCACAACATGAATTCATTGTGTTTATGGGTTGCAATAATTGATTTTTTAGGACATTGTGACAGTAAGGATTGGTCAGAAAAATATCCCACAATGCATTGTGCTGCCAGCAGGAATTTATTAAACCACTTTTTTATTGGTTACCAAAATTTTTTAAGATCTTTAAAGTGAAAACTGGACTGCCTTGGTACTTGAAGGTCCACTCCAAGTTTGAGGAAAATCATTTTTGAGATGTGGGAAAGCAACTTGTAATTTGAAATAGTTATATTAATATTCTATATTTTATATCTTATATTATTCTTATATTATTCTATGTCTTTCATTCCAATGCAGAACTTTAGTCTTTTCACTATAACATATGTTGGTGAGATAAATAATGTCAATTGATTACTTGATGACACCAGGTCATCAAGTATGAGGCTATTTCAGTGCAGTAGAGCACTAATTGACTAGTTTTAGCATTTTCATTTACATAAAATATCACCATGAGTGACTTGTATGCTCATTTTTAATCAATGATATATATTTTTTAATTGTTATACCTCTTTGCTTATTTGTAGTATGAAATTTGGACGTTTATGATATAATTCAATTTAATTTAAATTACATTTATAACCGCTCCACTCTGCCTGATGATGTAGCCTTGCAAATGTTCTATTCAAAATTGAACAAATTATTACTGCTTTTCATATTTTTGCCAAAGTTTGAGCAGAAAAACATAAAACAAGCAGTGGGCAGAAACTGTTTCAATCAGGCATTTTTAGGTAGTTTCTAGTTCACAAAAACTTGACTTTGGTTGTTCATTAAATAATTACATCACACTCAGATTTATTAAATTAAACACAAATGAATTATGCAAATAGTTGCCTTATTCTAAAGCCAAACTTAGTTGCTGGTTTCCATGGTAACAGTGGGATTTTTCAGGTTGCTGTTCTTGTAGCATAAAGTCTATGATGATGTCTCTGGGAAATCTGTGAGCAACATGTCCCACTTCAGATGTCCCTGGAAAGGACAGCCGAGTTAAAGACCTGTTAGCATTTTGCTATTCTCATTATCTCTCTACAATGGATTGAGTCTGTTCATTTTTTCATGTGGAAGTTATTTTAATCTCCCAGTTTGTTCTTTCCAGCTGAGTACATTTTATACTCATATAGGCCTAACATCATCATCAAATTGAAAGCATAATAACAAGAGATTGGTAATGTATCATTGAAAGCTTAAAAATGTAGTTCATTAAACAGGATGTAAAACTATTCTTTGTTCTCCATCACTGCAATCTGAAAATTCTTTTTCACAGATTAATGCACAGCAACATTCATATTGGCAGTCCTGGTCATTCATATTTAAAATATTACTGATAGAACCTCTTTGAAAATGTATACTTTTGAAAGAAAATGAGAAAATAACATCAGCTGTTATTGTTTTCTGAATAGGAGGCATGTGACACTTAATGTGCAAAAAGCATTTCCACTTAAATGGATCCACAATTAGTTGAACATGTTGGACTAAATATGTTGCAATTTTGCTGCTAGCTAAAAAAGTGCTATTGATGACGTGTCAAAACTGACAATTACCAGAAAATATTTATATTTTTTATTCTATTTTTAAACGTGGAGGTCACCAGTGTTTCACCTGTGACCTGGTCTGGACTGGAATGCACAGAGTAAACACCGGAAGTTTACTGCAGTTATTTTTATCACTATGTTTATGATTGGTGTAAATTCAAATTCACAGCATCACTGTTGGCTGTAATGAAAAATAAACATAAAATAGTGAGGCGAGTCTGGACCGCTTCCCACATAAAGAAAAAAAGAAGAGCACAACTTCCAAAGGACTTGTATTTGTGCTTTCAACATTTCTGTCCTGAAGAGTTTGAATCATTTGTACAAGCAAAATTGATGAAAAATTTAACAGGTGGTTGTTGCCTTTGCAAGATAAAAACATATGTCATGCTGACAGTTTTATTCACAAAATGCCTAAACCCTGGCACCGGCTAACAAGACAAAACTGCTGGGAGAAACATTTAAGAGACAAGCAGCGCTGGAAGCTCCTTTCAACAATAAAGAAGCCATTACCACTGCAACCAGTACTGAATATGAAAACACAAACCCAACACAGAACCAAAGACCAGAGCCTAAACAGGTGGTACTGGACTGAAGACCGGATTCAACACAGACAAGTTACTTAGTACCACTTACTGGAGCACACAGTCTGAGGTACATGTCATTCGTTGTTTCATTTATGAAGCTAAAGCAGCAGCACCACTAACACCAGTTTTTCTGCCTCACTCTTTTCCTCTTCATTCCCATGAATTTCAATGCGCTCTGGTTTAAATTGAAAAGGCTTAACAATGTTACTTGTTGCTGTTTTGGCCGGATGGAGCTCACAAAATTGGACCTAGTGTACATCATTTACCCAGCGTAAACAATATGGCAACATCCATGTGACAATATTTTATTAAAATTTAGAATAAACAGTCAATAGTGTTTTTACTGTATTGACTTAACATCTAAAATAAATGTTTTAAAAATAAAGTCTATTGTTACAACTAATTGTGGATCCCTTTAAAACCTGATATTTACATACACTGCGTACAACAGCAACATCATCAATACATTTTTCCTGAAATCCTATCTGTTTGCTAAATTCCAGAAATAATACCAATTTTAAAGTTCTTTACATTTGGCTAAATGGTCAGAGTCACTATCCAATTGGAAGACACATCTAACCTTTAACTTCCTGGCTGATATCTTCAGATGTTGTGTAAGTATTTCCATATAATCTTCTTCATTGGGCATCTATATTGTTCAATTTCCAATCCCTCCTATTTTTTCTTCCAAATTGAACTTTTGCTAAAACACTTCAACTTATGTTTTCAAGACATGTCTTGTGGTCTGATGAAACTAAAGGTTTATCTCTGAGTTCATTTGCAAATCTTGCTTTTTATGCTGCTTTTTGAGCAATGACTTCTTCCTGTCTGAGTGACATTTCAGCTGAGGTTGCTGCAGGTCACCCTCAACAATCTCAATGGCATTTTTACTAGCTTTTGTTCTGGAGTTGGTTCATGCATTTCCCACCAGAATCTTTCATCTGTGGAACAGAACTCATCTCCTTTTTGTGAACGACCCCAGGCTGTTTATTCTTACATACATTGTTTAAAATTGATTTTCCGCTGAAATATAATTTTATGAAATGAAGCCTAGGCAGAAATTCAAACTGGAAGTCTCTCTTCAGCCTCACCTGCATCATCATCCAGTCACTGCATTATACGCTTCTACCACAGCCTATCAGTAGCTGACCATGGCTCCTTGTAACCAGTCATCAAGCAAGTGTCCAGTCAGAAGGCCCTCCATCCGTGGTTCTTTCTGCTCGCCAGTTGAACTTCAACCCAACTCCATGCCTTCTCCACTCTTGTTCTGCCGCCTCATTCAGGCTTTCATCCTCTCGTCAGTGTCCCGGCCTCGGGGGACGGAGACGTCTCTGGTCCTCATCCTGAGCTGCTTATCCAGGCTTATTGTTATTCACGTTTACAAGAAGTCAACTGCTGGGATCACAGCGCCAAAACTTTCATTTATTCATGGCAAATAAAACTTTCTAATTGGAACTTTTGGGAGAAATAAATAACATCATCATCCAGGTTTGCATTAACAATTTGGAGGCACAGTAGTCTTAGTCCATGTAAATTTTGACCTTGAAGAATGTAATAATCTCTCGTTCTGGAATTTATCTAATAGAACTTGTCAAGTTGATAACCCCAACTGACGAGACTATCTAAATGTATCCAGTGTATGTAAATACCCGGCTTCATTTATTTTGCACTGCGGAGCATGATGCATCCACCGATCTTTAATTTGCACCATTCGCGCTTTTAACTGTGTAATGTTTGAAACCATCTTGTTAGTCACTGTTTTCTCCACACTCTTGTAAACAACTTTTTCACATTAAATCGGACCAACACTTACAGAATGGCAAGGTAAGGCAAGAATTTCACAACTCCTCCAACCTGCTCTGCAATCTCTAACTTTCCCCATATATTTTTTCATTGCTAGCTCTAATGACTCTATGATGTACTGTCAACATAGTGCACTGGTGTTAATGGGAAACATCAATTTTGCCTTGTACCATCAATTGAGTTTCATTATTAGCTGCTTTTAATTTTGACTAGATAATGTTTTTGTCCATCTTCACCTCAGTCTGGATGACAATCTGTTTGGTTTTTGAAAGGAGGAGTTCTTCATTTCTATAATGTTCACCTGATTGCATGAAAAATGAGTTTGTCTTTCCAAATTATTTGGATGTTACATGTATGTGTACAAATTTTTTTCCAGTTTACTCTTTGTTCATAACTGATGCTTGAAGTGACCACTGCATGCTGGGAAGCCTGAAGCTACTCAGGGTCAATATTGCAGGACCTGGATGTGGAACTGATGCTTACTTTAGTTCTCCTTTTTGTCTTTTTCTATTGTTTCATGTCTGTGTCCCAGAGTGGATTTACCCCACTGCACATTGCTGCCCACTATGGAAATGTCAATGTGGCCACTCTCCTACTCAACCGTGGAGCGGCCGTGGATTTCACAGCCAGGGTGAGATCTTTTTACTCAAACAAATGTGCACTGTAATTTTACACAAACAGTTTGGAACTTTGAAAATCATTTTAGTTTGGTATCAATTCACATACTGTACATCACACAAAAATCTAATTTCATTTCAATGGAGACAAGCAGGTCCAATTAATATGAAATGACATTGAAATATAATAAAATCCATACCATGGCAGCATGGTCATAGATATACTCAGATTAGGTTTACTTTATATACAACAAATAGTTCTATTTAATAAAAATGCTTTCTGTTGAGGTTCATTTATCAGATTCAAAGTACCGTTTAAATATTGACAACATTTAAGCGACTACAAAACATACTATCTATTAAGGCTACATTTCTGTGTTAATTAAAAAGTTTAGATTTTAGTTCATTTTATTTCAACACAGTTTGATAATAAAATTAGAACATTTTCTGCACCTTTAAGCCCTTAATCTTTGTGTCAGATTCTCCTTCTCAAACCCGTCCTCTCTTCTGCAGAACGGAATAACTCCTTTACATGTGGCGTCTAAACGTGGCAACACCAACATGGTTCGTCTGTTGCTGGATCGGGGCTCTCAGATTGATGCAAAAACACGGGTTGGTACCACAGACACAGAACCACAGACAAAATAGTTTTCTTCCTGACTGTATCATCAGTCAGGAAGCTCTTTAGATCAACATCTTTTCCTTACTGCTGTCCAGCTTCTCAGGTTCATTCCTTCTCTGAGATTTCCAGGGAATACCAGTAAGATTTTAGCCGTAGTAAACAAACCGTGATATTAATGTTTGGTATTTAAAGCAGATGTGAAAAGTGTTGGGGGGGGGTTTCAGTTTAGCAGGACAGCAGTGGATTAAATTTAGAGTCTTAACCCAGCTGATGTTTGGTTGGATGCCAGATAGCTGGCGTCCAACGATGTTATTAGCTCCTTTTGGTTTGTAACATGTAGAAACATCATGCAGTCTCTGGCAGCATCTGAACTCAACCAGCTGACAATTTTATAGCAGCTGTTTTAGGTTAAGTCATTATCCGTAGATGAACTGAGTTGATTAACCTAAGCTAACATCCCTTAAATGTTCCTGTAAAAAACAGGGAAATGATGAGACAGACAATTGTCAAAGTTGATCAATGCCTGGCTTCTGCCATGTTGGAGAGGGACAACCTTTGACCTCACTAGACTGTCTTACAGAGCACCGCCCAGCACAGCGGTAGAACTACAACTTAAATAGTCATTTCCAAAATGACTTTTTGCTGTACTTTTGTGTCTTTGAATAAACAGAAATATTTTTATGTGGTTACACATTAGTGTGTCACACTGAGACATTTCTATCCAATGTGTGATGCAGGATGGTCTGACCCCCCTCCACTGTGCAGCTCGAAGTGGACATGAGACAGCCGTGGAGCTGCTGCTGGAGAGAGGAGCCCCTTTACTGGCCAGGACCAAGGTGAGCCACACTGAATTTATGCTTATCTGTCAGGTCTGTTCTGATCACACAACCCAGAATTGTCCAAACAAAGTCTTTGGGATGGAATGAAAAATGATAAAAAGCCACAAAGCTGTTGTGGAGCGGGAGAGCTTCTTCACTCCAGCTTCTCAGGTTCATTCCTTCTTATGAAATATTAAATGTCCTCATCAGACAGAACCACCTTAGGGAAACCTTTCTGGATGCACAAACAGCAAAATTCAAAATAACTTTCTCAATTTCCCAAAAAAGTATATATGCATGACTAAAGAGCATCTAACTCACCGCCTTTTGGCTTTTCCGAAAAATAGTTGGTATCCTTAAGGGGAGATGGAAACAAGTGTTAAATTTACCCACTGTGGAACAGACATTTCAATCTTCTATTTAAAAAGGATCAACATTGCTGTATTACCCAAGTCACAGTACTAGGTGGCAATAATCTCCACAATACAAGAGTAAAATTCAATTGAAGATCTTAAAGTCATCAAAGCAGTGATGAGTTATTGCTCATGCTTTATGTTGATGAAGCTTGATAGCAGAAGCTGCCCTGGTTCTATGCTTTGCTCCATCCAGAAGGTCTGGACTCTCTGCTGCTGAGAAACGATTCATCTTATGACATTCCTTTTCTATTGGATCACTTGTTCAGAATGGGCTGTCCCCACTGCATATGGCGGCACAAGGAGACCACGTCGAATGCGTCAAACACCTTCTGCAGCACAAGGCTCCCGTTGATGACGTCACACTGGACTACCTGACAGCGTTGCATGTGGCAGCTCACTGTGGTCACTACAGAGTCACCAAACTGCTGCTGGATAAAAGAGCCAACCCTAACGCCAGGGCTCTGGTACGTTAGAAAGACAGAGAGGAAAGATTCAGCAAGTATCAGATTCACAATGTTCCTTATGGTTGGATGTGCTGTTGCTTGTCACACTTCCTTCACAGAACGGCTTCACTCCACTGCATATAGCCTGTAAAAAGAACCGGGTAAAAGTCATGGAGCTGCTGGTGAAATATGGAGCGTCAATCCAGGCAATTACAGAGGTGACTTAAACAACATCCATTTTATACATTAACTCATTTCTAGTGATATTAATTTTCAGGTTTCACAGCCAGCTTGCAGTTGTAAATAAGTAGGCAGTATGTTCTTAACTAACTTAGCCATGAAACTGTTACAACAGACAGTTTCATAGTCAAGAGCTGTAGATATCTGAAAATCTAGGACACAGTAAAGATGATTATTTGTTTATATTAGGAGGCGAGGAAACGTCACTGTGTGAGACAGCTGGATTTACATTCACCAGATAAAGGCGCAAATCAACGGTTCAAAATTAAATGTGCTTTCTGGAAACACACCAGTTTTGAAAAGACTTGTTTTTCGATGAAAAGATTTTGTGGTCAGAATGTAGTGTTTTTTTTCTGGCAATATCAACATTGGTTTATTTCACAAAACTGTAATGGAAACACTCTTTCTGCATGACGAGTCACAATATCAGCAGCTGGATGTTGCTACTAGCACAAACCATGAAAAAGATGCCACAGCAGGTTTTTTAATGACTTATGTGAGCAAATTTATTCACCTGGGATTTTAATTGCATTTCTTATTTAATGGAAATATCACAATTCCATAGTTGTCTTTCTTTGACATTAGTGGAATATTGACAAAGTTTTGCATACATTAGTAATTAAAATGCATCCTGTGTTACACAGCCCTGTAGTTAAACATTTAACAATTACTAGATTATTTCAGTTGTTTTAATTCAGAGTTGAGTTTTAAGTTGTCATAGACTACTTCTAAGAACAATCTGCATATATAAATACGTTGATTTTAGAAGTGTTTTTTATGCTTCTTGTGACAGCTAACTTTGCTCAGTGGCTTTTAAAACAATGAGTAGTTATTGTTGTCAATTATCATACTGATCAATGGCAAATTGTAAAATAGGCCAACTTTGATCATTAGCTGATTTCTCAGAGCTTCTCTGCTTCATAATTATTTTAATGTCTGAAATGAATATTTTTTATATGTACATGCAGTGGTGAGGACACTTTTTCTAATAGTGGAGCAAATTCTTTCTTTAGTGCTTTAGTGCTTTGCAAACTTTGAATAAATGTAAAGCTGTAACTTACGTGACTGTTTTGTAAACTTTCAGTTAAATAAAGCTTACCTAAACAAAACAAGACCAGGCATGAAAAAAACACAGAAAGTGATCAGAGTTTATCATTTGTTTGCCTCTGGTCTTTTGCAACACTGTAGAGCACTGATCTTTCATTTCCACCATGTGTCTGCATTCTGCTGCCTGTTTAGTCTGGCCTGACTCCCATCCATGTAGCAGCTTTTATGGGTCACCTGAACATCGTCCTGCTCCTGCTGCAGAACGGAGCCTCAGCGGATGTCAGCAATATAGTGAGTAATGGGGAAGGGCAGGAGCAGGAGGGAGCTGATGCAGCATTTCAGCTACATCTGACACAGTGTGTTACCTGCTGTACACAGCGTGGAGAAACAGCGTTACACATGGCAGCCAGGGCTGGCCAGGTGGAGGTGGTCAGATGTCTGCTGAGAAATGGAGCGATGGTGGACGCTCAGGCACGGGTGAGATTCCCTTCGTCACATGTCTTGCACTTATCAATACCTGTGTCATCAATATCGAGTGTGTGTGCTGTTTGATTAAAAACTGCCACAACCCCCCATCCTGTCCAGGAGGACCAAACTCCTCTTCACATCGCGTCCCGTCTTGGGAAAACAGAGATCGTCCAGCTGTTGCTGCAGCACATGGCCCATCCTGATGCTGCCACAACCAATGGCTATACCCCACTCCACATCTCTGCCAGGGAGGGGCAGGTGGAAACTGCCTCGGTGCTGCTGGAGGCTGGGGCTTCCCATTCATTAGCTACGAAGGTGGGTAGTGAGGGAACCATTTAATCTTTGTCCAACTTGATGAGGTGGTCAAGAAATCAGTGTGGATGTCCAGTATTACTCTGTCACTTAGGACATGGATGCTGCTAACGGATTTGATCCAAAACACATTAGCGTTTTGGATCAAAGCACCTTGATGACAAATGGGCTACTGGACTGGAACAAGACGGAAATGGGCGAGAGATGAAAACTTGGATCTGTTGGAATGCTACTACTCAAGTAACCCTAGTGAGAGAGGTTACATGCAAAGACTGGGGAAGGAATGGTTACTTCGACATCCCCAGTCAACACTAAGCGTTAAACAACTAGTAGCTCAGTGTTCCAACATCCGCAAACGACAACTGCTATCACAACTTGAGATTGACGAGATACAACACAAATGCTACGGCAAAAAGGAGGAACCTGGATGTCAGAACTGTGGGGACTTAACTACAAGTCCCCACCCAGACAGGGGATGCACGGCCCCAATGAATGAATCAGAGCTGAATGAGACAGCTGCTGCTGCTGCTTATTCTCACACTGAGAAAAAGCAGCAGTTAGACCTGAAGTTCTTTGGTGCTCAGACACTGGTGGTGGAGAAGAGCCTGGAAGGTGCCTGAAGCACCTGAAGGTGTTGTAATCGATGATTACCAGCCAGTAGGCTGAAGAGAGTTTCACAGCATTAATTTATACCTAGGCTCCCATGGTAGAGCACTTTATCAAGTGTCCTCCCACCAGTCACAAACCACAGAGGGCAAGTGGAGCAGGGATTGAACAAGCAACCTGCTGATTGTGGGTGAACTCCTGCCATCGTCATCACCATTGCCCCTAAGTAAATCAAGTGAAGTATAGAGAAAGATGTAATGCTCCATTTGTGAAATTAAATCTGTTGGGCTTCACCTTGACACTCTGGCATTCTGACAACATGTCTCAGTGGATGCTGCCGGACAGCACATAGTTTTTAAAAAAAATATCCAATACTTTAAAGTATATATTTCTACAGTATTTTGCGATTTTATGTGTAGATTTTTCAAAATCTCTGGGTCTTACCGTCTCTGCTTCCTCCTCTCTACAGAAAGGGTTTACTCCTCTGCATGTGGCTGCCAAGTATGGAAACCTAGATGTGGTCAAACTGCTGATACAGCGCGGTGCGCTCCTGATTCTGCTGGAAAGGTGAACATCCAACGTAGACCTGTTCTGCTTAGATTCCCCAAGCAAACACTGGATTATCAGCTAGATGAATATGTATAATATGTTCATGTGTCTTGCATGTGAATAAAAATTGGTGGTTTTTTGTGTTAAGGATGTGTTTACTGCCAGAAAACTGGTAAGCGTATGTTGCACTTTAAGCCAGGTATTCCTTGATCTGCCTCACCAAGTCAGACATTTATCAGAAAGGTCAACAGGAGCTATTTTTTGTTCTTCAAATTGACTCATTCTGTGTCCTCTAGTCAACAGTGAATGAGTTTTTGGTTTCCCTGCTTTTCTAGCGGCTCTTTAATGCACTCATCAATCCTCCCCAACAGAATGGCCTCACTCCCCTCCATGTTGCAGCACATTATGATAACCAAAAGGTGGCGCTCCTGCTTTTGGACAAAGGAGCGTCTCCTCACGCAATGGCTAAGGTGAGAATCTACAGCACATAGTTCATGATGAGGAGAATCACTGGATTCACAGCAAAAGTTTTCTTTCTTTCACTGGCACTAAAATCATCCCACACACACACCCACCACCCACACACACACACACACACACACACACAAAGCCCGCCCGCCGCCCGCCCGCACGCACGCACACACACACACACACACACACACACACACACCCCCCACACACACACACACACACACACACACACCCACCCACCCACCCACCCACCCACACACACACACACACACACACACACACACACACACACACACACACACGCACGCACGCACGCACACACACACACACACACACACACACACACACACACCCACACCCACCCACACACACACACACACACACACACACACACAAAGGCAAACAAGAACATGTGGATCATCTGAAGCCTCCTATACTGTTATGGTTTCCTTTAACACAAGATAAATCAGCTAATTACAATGATTCATCACGTCTTGATGAGAATTCTGTATTTACAGAAAATGAGCTGATCATTTTGTTTAGCATGAAATTGCTATAAAATTAGTCTTTTAATGAACATTTTCCAAAAAGTTATTTCCAAGAACTGACATGAGTCTTTCCTGAACTACATTTCCACACCTTGCACCCTAATAGACCTGATAGACCTGATGTCTTAAAGCTTTAAAACTACAATTTATTTAAAGCTTTGCATACTTGACAAGTGGCCAGTACTTTTGTCTGGGTCAGAACCATTGAAAACATTCAGCCTAACGTTTGCCTCTCATGAACCAGAACGGCTACACTCCTCTGCATATTGCGGCTAAGAAGAACCAGATGGACATTGCCACAGTGCTGCTGCAATACGGCGCAGAGACCAACATCCTGACCAAGCAGGGGGTCACGCCGCTCCATCTGGCCTCCCAGGAGGGTCACACACACATGGCAGCTCTGTTAATCAGCAAAGGAGCCCAGATTAATGTCTTCACCAAGGTAATGTTGACCACCAACCCTGATATAAGGCAAAGTTATCCATTTGTATTGTGTCACTTCCTATGTTACTTCTCTGTTTGCTCAAGCAGAGTGGCCTAACCGCACTCCATCTGGCAGCCCAAGAAGACAAAGTATCGGTTGCTGAGATTCTCTCCAAGAACGGTGCCAACTTGGACCACCAGACTAAAGTATGTGAAAGGAGTTCCTGTTTTATTTCTCCTCCTTTGTCAATTAGGCACTAGTGTCCCACTTCAGATTGTATGTCTCTGACACAGACTGATGTCATTTAAGATAAGTATTGACAGTTACTGATCATTGTCCAGTACATTTTGGTCACCGATTTTCCTGCATAAGATTAACCAAATCATACAGATTAATGGATATGGTCATGTAGGACACAGCTGTAAAGTCTGATCTCTAGGGCTAACCTTCTGCTGCCTCTCCTGGTCTTTGTTTTTTAATCACCAAAGGCTTCTGTGGTTTGAGACGAGAACTGGAACGACCAAAACATTCAAGTCTTAACTTCAGCAACATTCCTGTCTCTTTTGGACTATTATTCATGAATTCACCAGGACAATATCTTAAAAAAAATGCTATATCATTGCACTTTTCTAAATGACTGTGGATATCGTGCTCACTGTTGTCATTTACTGGTTTTCTTTCTGTTGTATCTGACTCTGCTGATGGTTACGTTCGGCATCTGGTATGGACTTTGTTCCCAGGCTTTTTCCCATATGTTTGTCCCAAGAATTGGGGAAGACCTGGGAAAGAGAGCAGTTAAATGTGGTGTCCAAATCATTTTCAACAAGTATTTAAATTGACAGAGAAAGTGACTTTCAGTGAACTAAAGATTAAAGACCATGAAGAAGAGAGTTTAGGTGGCTTTTTTTGTTGTTGATAATTTTGTTTTTCAATAGCTATTTTTTTATAATATTATGCTTTCATACATATTGATTTTTCTGTTTTAATATAAAAGTTGGCATTTGTAAACAGTGCTGCTTTTTTGCCAACTCTTGAAAAAGAGATTTGAGGTTTCAACAAAGTTTTCATTTGGTTAAATGAAGGTTAGAACCGTAGCATATAGAATGTGGCAATTGAGGTTTGCCACAAATAGGAATGCAGTGATTCATGGTGACCTGGTGAGTTCATGTCTGCATTTATGGTCAGTCTGCAAAAAAGGGACAGTGGCTGATTTTTAGAGATATTGATGCATAAGATTGGATCTTCATGTTGGTATCTCTCTCCTAAAATGAAGGAAAATCAGGGCCAATTTATCAGTGCAGCCAAAGGATTTTTAGATTATGACAACTCGCGACGTTATTTAATAATAACAAGAATCAGACTAGCTTTTACATTATTTGAATGTGACAGAGTTTACAGCCTTTTCATGCACTTTTTGTGACCCCATTGATTTCTGGTGTTCCCCTCGACATTAGGTGTTCTTCAAAATTTGGTAATCTATTCAAATTAAAATAGTGAGGTTTAGAGTTTTGATTCGTCCATATCAGCATCCACAATGTGTTTTAATCCTTACACTTAGCATGTTTTGTATGAAAAAAAAAACATGCTATCCATGTTTCCATGATTCCTGATTGGAGAAATAAGATGTTTTACTTTTTCATAGCTGGGCTACACCCCACTAATTGTAGCGTGTCACTATGGTAATGTCAAGATGGTGAACTTCCTTCTTCAAAACGGGGCCAGTGTAAACGCCAAGACAAAGGTACTGCTGTAACTGAATTTATTGCAGGTTATTCAGCTCCAGCTGTTTCTCAATCTTTATTCCATTCCCCTTGCCAGAGTGGATACACTCCGCTTCATCAAGCTGCCCAGCAAGGAAACACACACATCATCAATGTTTTGCTTCAGTATGGGGCCAAGCCCAACGCCATTACTGTGGTTTGTATATACTCACTTAAAGCAGATGCAAACTCAAATGCAAATACAGGCATCTGGAATCTGCTTCCTGTCCCCAGAATGGAAATACTGCGCTGGGTATAGCTCGGAGGCTGGGCTATATCTCTGTGGTGGACACTCTGCGAGTCGTCACTGAGGAGATCATCACCACCACTACGGTATGGCAGAACCAGTGTAGAAACCTCTGAGTGAATTTACACTTAACAAATGAACATGATGTTAAAAGGAGGAAAAATGATGCAGGGTTTTCAAAATCTTTAAAGCAGTTGAATAATGGGACACCGCGGTGGTGCACAATGCACATATGGAGGTCTGTCACAGGTTCAAGTCCTGGCCCCTGACTCTCCCACTTTCCTTTCTGACTGTTCTTAAATAAAGCCACAAAGGCAGATTAAAAAGAATAAATTGAAGAAGGCGCTCTGTTCAGAGACCAACAAGAAACTTTTTGTCCCAAAACATTCCATGTGTGATGGAATACTGCACATCACCCCGAACACACCATCCCCACAATGAAAACTTCATGCAGGCACCAAAATGTGGGATGCTTTTCTTTAGAGATTCACAATTATTTAATTGGCCTATTCAAAGTTTTGATCTACAACTTGCTGTTCAGATACTCTCCAACCAGTTTTCAAAGAAGAAATTTGTAAAAGTGGCAATACTGGTAGGCACAAACAACCCATGAAAAAGACCTGCAGTTTCCTTTGCTGTGAAATACGAATGCATGAAAATTATTTTCACATTTTAATTTGTTAAAAAGAAAAAAAACAACTTGAAAACCATGTGTCATAACTTCACAGTTATTCTGTACTTTGTGCCGATCTGTCACCTCCGTCCCGAGACAAACACTGAAGTCTGTGGTTGTAATGTGACCCAAAGTGGAGAACTTCTTGGGTGTGAAAATTTCTTCTGTAAGGTCAAAATATTTTAGATTCTGTTTTTCATCATCAGTTTTTATTCAACTGACCAAAACTTGGATTTAGGGTGTACACCAGACTCTGAAGGTATGGAGTTGTAAAATCAGTGTAATTAATATAAGTTCATTTATGCTATAGCAGTATATTGAGATGAGATTGATTTTGTTGAAATGTCAGCAGTTTATCTAATATGGGTGTTATGTGTCAACAACATTTAATCTTAAATGTTTCCCCTCTGTGGACAGACGGTGACAGAGAAACACAAGCTGAATGTTCCTGAAACTATGACAAGTACTGGATGTTTCAGACGAAGAAGGTAAGTTTCTCTTGCTATAGAAACCAGAGTGACTACATTGATTTGTTAAAACAAATTCATTTCCAAATCCAGTAGAATAATTCCACTAAAATAGAGATTACTGATTTTATGGTGCTACTTTGAATATTTTGTAATATTTTTCTAAAAGTTTAATTGTAGGAATGAAAGCATTGCAAGGTATGCACAGTAATTTCCCCTCTATTTCATAAAGAATTTTTCTGTTTATTTATGACAGTAATTATGACTTTTTGTCATTCTCCATATTGATTACAGGCTATTGACCCGTTGCAACATGTCACCTAATGATGCACCGTGACAGACATCGAAAGTATTCCCAAGTTTTTGCCTGTTTATTCATATTTTCTACTTATCATTGTGTCATAAACAGTGTTTATCCTACATCTTACAAAACCTGAAGGAAACACACAGGGAGCCAGGAAACAAACAGAGACCCGGTGGCTTAAGGTTAATGGAAGGAACAGAAAGAGAAAGAAAGAGAGAGAGAGAGAAAAAGAGAAAGAGAGAGAGAAAGAGAAAGAAAGAGAGAGAGAGAGAAAGAGAGAAAGAAAGAAAGAGAGAGAGAGAGACAGAGAGAGAGAGAAAGAGAAAGAAAGAGAGAGAGAGAAAAGAGAAAGAGAGAGAGAGAAAAGAGAAAGAAAGAGAGAGAGAGAAAGAGAGAAAGAAAGAGAGAGAGAGAGATAGAGAGAGAGAGAAAGAGAAAGAAAGAGAGAGAGAGAGAAAAAGAGAAAGAGAGAGAGAGAAAGAGAAAGAAAGAGAGAGAGAGAGAAGAGAAGAAAGAAAGAGAGAGAGAGAGATAGAGAGAGAGAGAAAGAGAAAGAAAGAGAGAGAGAGAAAAAGAGAAAGAGAGAGAGAGAGAAAGAGAAAGAAAGAGTGAGAGAGAGAGAAAGAGAAAGAAAGAGAGAGAGAAAAAGAGAAAGAGAGAGAGAGAAAGAGAAAGAAAGAGAGAGAGAGAGAGATAGAGAGAGAGAGAAAGAGAAAGAAAGAGAGAGAGAGAAAAAGAGAAAGAGAGAGAGAGAAAAGAGAAAGAAAGAGTGAGAGAGAGAGAAAGAGAAAGAAAGAGAGAGAGAGATAGAGAGAGAGAAAAAGAGAAAGAAAGAGAGAGAGAAAGAGAAAGAAAGAGAGAGAGAGAAAAAGAGAAAGAAAGAGAGAGAGAGATAGAGAAAGAAAGAGAGAGAGAGAGAGAGAGAGAAAGAAAAAGAGAGAGAGAGATAGAGAGATCACACAGAAGGAGCAGGCAGAACATAATGTCTCAACACAAGCCATGATTTGATTTTTGTGCGCTATTACACCCCAATGCATATTATTATACAATAAGGGCTCTGTAAATTTGGCAGAATATTTTCTTATCACTGTTTACCGATGTTCCACTAACTGCACATCAAAATTATTTATGTTTTTTTCATTACACTATTTAGGTTTCTTTTTATTGCAGCAAATATCCAACCATAAATTTTCTTTGAAATCACAAACAGATCTCCAGCAGATGAAAGCAATCTCTATTTCCTGTTTACATCAATATAACATTTGATCAACTGTTGTATTTATTGTAACTGCAGATTTGAGATTTCTTTAGAGTATTTTTGACATGTCATACCTTCTGATGCTTTTGCGTTTCAGGAAGCTATCATGCTATGGGTAGAGGAACACGCGGATCTTATTTCAGTGTGTTTCTTTTTTGCTCTGTTGGACTTATTTGCTTTCAGGCAGACCTGGACCTGAAGTCTCATTCCTCTCTATTATAGCAGCTTCTCTTACCTACTTAAACAAAAGAAAAAGAAAAAAAAGAAGAAATGAGCAGCAGCTGTGTTTCCATTACCTATATATGCAACTTTACATCTCTTTTCTGCTAATATAGAAAAAACATAATTGTGGTGTTTCCATTAAATAAGAAACTAAAATCATGTGATTTAAATTAAAATCACATGTGAATAAGCTTTTCACATGATAAGTCCCTAAAAATCTTGGCAGCCATCAATATAAACAGTAACATCTATCAGCCATCAGAGGAGACGTTGGCGTCTTAGTCAGCCTTTAAGTGACAAGTGCCGCCAACTTATGCAGCATTTAGGAAAATGGCAGTTGGTTATTTTACAGAAGAGTTATGGATTCAACATGTTCAAATGACACACAACCTTTTATGAGCTGTGTGATGTTCTGATGGAGCCAGCTGGGCATTGTCTGAAAATACAAAAACAAACCATCATCCTCCTACCACTTCCTGTTGTCTTCTTTGTCATTTTCCCCAGTAGCAATATAGAGCTGTTGATCACATGACTTGTGTGATGTGAAAAAAGGGTTTCGGTTGCAGTTTTGGGAAATACATCCACTTGTACGCAGCTGGAACCCCAGATCATCCTAGCGCAAAAAAACTTCTTATCGAAGAATGTCAGTTTTTCAATTTATTATTAGAAATGCAGCTAGTGATTTTGAGATTCTAATCATGCTTTATTTAGTTTTGTGGAAGTCAAAATCACCAGTATTCTTTACTGAGTTTAAATGATATACTCATAACAAAAGTGACCTCATTTAATCTTTTAGTTATCAATGTATATAAGCTTTATTTAACCAGGTAAGTTGACTGCAAAAAAATTCTCATTTTCAACAATGACCTATTGAGAAAAAATTTTAACATCATACAACAACATATAACACAGATGTTTACTCCTCTTAAAAGCAGTTTTGATTTCAAATTACTCGTTTTATTTTTTCTGAAGGCGATGACACAATGACAGGTGATGGTGGAGAGTATCTGAGAGCTGAAGACCTCAAGGAACTGGGAGATGATTCCCTACCAGGACAGTACCTGGACGGGATGAACTACCTCCGTTTCAGCCTGGAGGGGGCGCGCACTGAGAGGTACCAGATCATGGATGTCAAAGTCAAACACACCGAGGGCCAAAACACCAAATTTGCTACAAGCTGAGGGCCGGACTGGTTCCCCATTTATTAAAACATATTGAAATGATTGCACATAGCCTATTGAACCAACACCTAACACAGTATGTAGAATAAAGCAATATTTTGTTACAGATCTGTCAGTAATTTCAAGTGAAACCATTTTTCAACAGGCAAACAGACAAAAAACAAACTTCCTTCAAAGAAAATTGCATGTTCTGTACATTGAAAGAACAAAGCAATATTTCATTATGACTATCAGTAACCTGAAGGGAAAACATTTTCAACAGCCAAACAGCAAAAACTTCCACTGTTATGAAAAACTAAATATATGAGCTCAAGATAAATACATAAATTGAAGTGCATGCACTATAAACTGAAAATGCATTATCATGCTGCTCTATGATATTCATATTCTTGTCTTTGTGTTTCTGAGAAGCTTGATAATGCCTTCTGAGATGATATTCTTTCATTGCAGACACACAGAAGACACACAGAAGACACACAGGCAGTGGTGGCATAGTTACTTTCATCAGATTACTGATTACTCCTTGAAAAAGTAACAGTTAGATTATTGACTACTTGATTTGGAAAGTAACTAAGTTACATTAAAAGTAACTATTTTAGTTACTGTCTGCAGCTGCTAACAACAACAACGCTCCGCCACCTGTGAACATCTTATTGATCTTTGCCAATACCTATTAGCAAGTTATTTTATGACAACAATGTGTCTCTATGTAACCTTTTTAATTATTATGGTTTAGGGTTCTGTAATATTCTGTACAATATTAACTATGTTACATCTACATATATGGTTGAACTGAAGGGTAGATTGTTTAATGGTTACAACGGTACAAAAAAAACAAACTTTAGTGATTCTATTGTCTGGAAAACTAGGATTTTAGACCCCCAGGCCCCCCCCCACACACACACACACACACACCCTGCGCCCCAGCATCCAGGTTGTGCGTTACGGCCTTGCGTTTGGTGTCACAGCTCACAGATCTCCTCCTGCCGCTCCACAATTCAGATGTGTGACACTTATCTTAATATTAGTAATTATAATGACTTTAAGTTGCACAACTTTACAGAAGTTCATTCGTGGCTGTTATTATTGCCTTGACTTTGACACATGTGGACCTTCACCACACAACTTCACTGATCTATAGTCAGAAAACATAGCTCAGACAAAAAGTATTATACAGTTAAGTGAAAATCCATTGGTGAAATCTGTGCTCAAAGGTTCATACATGTTATGCCATTGCCCCATATCCTACTAGAGAACATGTTTCCTTCACACATTGCCTTTCTAACACTATTTAATCACCTTAAGTCTCTGGATCTGCACCTTCCTTAAATATTTTTATATTCCATATATTTTTAGAATATTGACCTGTGTCAGTGAACAGTATATGCATGCAGTGCTGTACAAAAGTGCCAAAGCACCTCAGATTGTCTGTTACCACCAAAGAGCCAGACTTTGTTATAATTATCCAGAATGTCTTGAAGCAGTTGGTCATCTGATTTTTGATAGGTAGAAGATTGTCTGATTTTTAACTTTTTTATGCAGATCCTATTATATAAAGTACATGGTGTGTCTTCACACAAGACAGGAAACTGAACAAGTTGATGAAGAAATGGGAAATGAATCCTGACAGATTCATCATCTTTAAGTTAATCCTTCCTTTGAGAAAAAAGTGGCTTTGAATTATTCTTTAATGTTTTTTCTGCATTATTTTCCTTTGTTGTGGTGCACTACTCTCAATGAATAATACCTACATCTCCAGGTTTCATTAAGTTAACAGAATTGTTCTACCATGTCAAATGCAGCTATGGATTCATGTTAAAGAATAGCCTTTTGCCCTCCAGCATTGTGTGCATGCAGAAAATTTCCACAACTGAAGAATAATATTGAAAGGAGTCAGTGAAAGTGGTCATGCATCTGATCTGGTGCCTAACTCCCTGCTACTTAGATACAAAGATGTTGAATCAGATATTTTAAGTCTCATGGCAAAAAAAATTCCTCTAATCCAACAAATCAATCCTCCAGCTGCAGCTGATCCAGAAGCTGCTGCTCCTGTTCTCACTAAAACCAGGAAGATAGAGACATAACAGCAGTTTTAAAGTCCCTCCACTGGCTCCCTGTAGCTCAAAGAATAGATTTTAAAATACTGTTGTTAGTTTACAGTTTAGCACCACAATACAATGTTTACGGATGTTCATTCGTGGCTGTTTTCACGTTTATTGCCTTGACTTTGACACATGTGGACCTTCACCACACAACTTCACTGATCTATAGTCAGAAAACATACTCTCAGGTTCTGGTTCTGGTTCTGCTCTGCATCCCCAGAACCAGAACCAAAAGAGAAGCAGCTTTCAGCTTCTATGCACCAAAAATTTGGAACAAACTTCCAGAAAACTGTAAAACAGCGGAAACCTTGACTTCCTTAAAATCTTCACTAAACGTTTAGAATTGTATTTGAAATGTAATATGGAACAATGTATTGTTTGATTCTATGTTGCATGACTTTGTGTTCTTGTGTTTATGATGTAAAGCACTTTGAAATGCCTTGCTGCTGAAATGTGCTATACAAATAACATTTGATTGATTGATTGATTCAATTAAATCATCCACAGGGTAGAGTTAGGGTTACTATTTGATCAGAAGCCAAAACACAAAAACACAAGTTGTGTTTTCATTCTCAGCTATTTTGGCCAAAAAGTTGTTCTTCATTTTTGCCCAACAAAACCGGACAATGTCCAGAAGTTAGGTCAGCTGATCAAACTTCACTAAAATATAAACATCATGGCTGAAGACTTTACTTCAGAGCTTTATGAAAAACTCCATTCTTCCTGACCTTGAGAGAATTAATACTCTATGTTTGTGGTCTCCCTCCTTTTCATGTATCCCTTCTCTCTCACTCAACCATAGTGGAGTCCAAAGGTATGTTTCTGACGAAGGTGTCTCTAACATCAGTATTTCAAACAAAGGAACATCCAGTCTTACTCTCTGTCTGCTCCTAGTGAGACCTTTCATCAAACGACTTTTGTTTCTAAATGTGACATTCATTGAATTTAGGAGCTCAGGTCAGAAATAACTAACTCTCAGCTGCACAAATTGATCTCGTCAGTTATTGGACACTGATGCCTGTTTGTGTTGGAAATGTCGAGCTAATTACCAATCTGTCCAGAGAAGTGATTTTTCCTGCTCTTGGCCTTCAGTGGTTTGACGGTTTATTCTGATATTTTGTGCTCCAGTTCAGACAGGTCCTTCACACCCACCCATCATAGCTACTATTCTCCAAGACATGATGGTATGATGGACGAGACACTCACCTGTCACCAGGTACTCCCATTGGTCAAAAGTATTTCAGACAAAAGCTTTTCATAAAATAAACTAATCAGGACAAAGAAAAGATTGCTAGAGGCTAGACTTTGACTGAGACAGCCAGGAGTCCATGTGCTGTGTCTGTCAAACCGACTCTAACATAACCCTCTCAAAATTAACAGAGGGTCTACAAAGACGCAGCACATTCTGGCTAAATGTCTTGAATTTGGTGTTGCCCAAAGAACATTGTTCTACAAGCCTTGTGGTTCAGGTGTAACTTTGACAAACATAATTCTTAGTGAAGAAATGTACCAAGGGTGGCTCATGAAAAATTTTCCAAATGTTCTGAGTAATTTTTAATTATATATGTTTGATTCTAGGTTTCATCACTTGCAAGAGAGAATGAGAGAGATTCCTACCGACTGAGTTGGGGAACAGAGAACCTGGATAACATCGCTTTGTCTCCAGCCCCCTTCATTCAGGGTAGGCCAAGTTCCAGTGTTGGACAGAATTGTTAACGATGACACAAACACTCCGTGTTAAATACAAATGTGTAGTTCAAAGCTTAAATATGCGAAAAGGACAAAAATTTTCAAATGAAAGTCTGATCTCAAGTTGTATTAATAGTGCAGGTTCTCTGCAATACACTAACTTTATATACTATATATATATATATCTATATATATAACAACCATGGTGGACTATAATGAGGATCAAGTTGTCACTGTCCTGCTCCAGTCAGACAACAGTTTGAAATGAGTTAGATGTGCTCACCATTAGCATCCACATTTACTTTCACTCATGGTGACAGTTGTTCAGACTGTCATCATTGACAAACGCTGAGCAATTCTTCTTTTTTCATGACAGTTGACAAAATTCTGAGCACATCCTCTATGTGTGACTTTATTGCATGTGGGACGATTCCAGGTCATTTGCTGTTAACACTGGAGAACACATACATGTTGCAGATATTGCGTCACTTCAGATTAGTTTGCACATAAAGACTAAAAACATGCTTTTTAATTCTATAACAGAAATCTTTTTCTTCCTTGCTCTGATTTTCCTCTCATGGTTTTTTTTCCAACTGATTCTGCTCAACTTTTAATGCCTCCCGATGTGACTGTTGTTTTTAGCCGTTCCTCTCCGTGCCGTGATCATGGAGACCACAGCAGGTGACCCTCTGCATCTTGGTTTAACCACATTTTTCTTCATCTTCATCACCATTCTTCCTCCACTCACATATGTTCTCCTCTTGGAGAGGTGCATGTTTGTGTGTTTGTCCCCAGTAAACATTGCCTCACATGTTTTCAGGCTCACAGTATAGAAAGCTGTGTGAATCGAACTAAAGCCGCCAAGTATTAAATCTGTATTTATGTCTCTTCATTTTTTCTCCACATAAGGTGGGAAGCTACATGTTATACGAAAAAAGTCTGAAAAAACTGAGGGAATGAAGGTTGAGGACACGTCTGTTGATTTCATAGACCGTCTCGTGAAGTTTGCATTTCCACAACATGGCCTCCATGTTGCCATGTCTCACAGAAAAATGATTATCTCACCATATTTTTGGAATACATCACTCTGTAACTCTGTGGACTTCATATTACTGGTGCTTACATGACCTACTGCAGAATCAAACCATGGATTAAGTTGTTCAATAGAACTAAAACCTGACCACCTGACCCTGCTGGGGACAAGGGTGGACAGAAAATGGATAGACGGATCTTTTCATAAAACCATACACAGAATCCATCTTTTATCTGATTGGAGAGAGGAGATTTCACAGAAATCAATGAAGTATTTTAACATCGTTCTGTTAGAAAAACCTCTACCAGGGAAATAATTCAGCAGTTTAACTCGTTCCTCTGTTAACTGAGACTTTCCTCCCTCCCTGAAGGATAAGCCATTTTTTAAGACATTGTTTTGCTTACTCATCTTCTACTGGAACTTCGGACGTTTGGATGCTCTGCACATTGCAATGCACTTCATATTACTGGTGAAGCTTACATGACCTACTGCGGCCAGCAGAGGGCCCCCAAGAGCAATTTTTCCCCCCCTTTTTGTCCATAAAATAATGATTTCTAAGTACATTATCAAATATATACTGTAAAAACAAATCCCTTCATAATGAAATTGTGTGTTTTCGTTATAATAATGACAGAAATCATTACTAAAAAAAAGCAGTTCCACTGAGAGGGCTTCTTTTTGTAAGCGTCCTTTGGTATTTATGATTTGTCAAACCTCCTTACCATCACCCTAATCTTTAGTTTCCTCCACAGATTTTTAGAGTCCCCATCTGACTCCAAAACTGGAATCAAATGGTGGCGCCATGGGAAATATGCTCTTCTCAGCTTGTAAAACTTAAGCGCCTTCTGCTTGGGTGTGGCTTTAGTCAGTTCCTCCTCATTCAGCTCCAGCCAGATTTGTCTCCATTTGTAGATCCTGCAGGATCCTCCTTGCTTTTTGGAGCAAGTTGGGCCAACCTGGGTATTGCGTGCAAACAATTTAATTGGCAGTAGACTGTATTTGTTGATTTACATCACAGTTTGAGTGAAAGCGATATTTGCAAACTCCTCAAACATCAATATCTCAACCACTATTTTCAATCCATAGTATTTGGCAAGATGGCTGGAAATGGATAATTCCAGGGTCAAACCTTGAGGTCCAAACCTTTGTATGAAATATGGCAAAAGAACCCACAGAGCATTGGGGCAGAGCAACCCTACATGTTCACAGCTTGCTCATGTTCCCACATTCCCACTTCTTCACGCCCTCTAACAGGAACACACTGCCAGTGGAGATGCACCCAACTTGGCCAGAACTGAACCAGATATTAAGTGGATAGAGTGAGACTTGACAATGGAGAGGGGGCTTTGAAAACAACTTACTCTATTAGTTTTGGTGTCCGTGGCCTCAATACCAAATGCTATCAGTGACATATGTTTTCATTTGTGAAAAATGTTCTGTTCTGCTTTAGCTTCCTGGTCAGCTTCATGGTGGATGCCAGGGGTGGAGCCATGCGTGGTTGCCGACATAATGGCCTCCGCATCATCATTCCACCCAAGAAATGCAGCGCCCCAACAAGGGTCACCTGTCGACTAGTGAAACGGCACCGACTGGCCACCATGCCCCCTATGATGGAGGGCGAGGGTCTGGCCAGCAGGCTCATTGAAGTGGGGCCATCTGGAGCCCAGTTTCTTGGGTAAGGCTATCGGTAGAGACTTAAACCGGACACATAATATTGGAAGAGTTAGCCAGCAGACAAATATAGTAATTCTACACAAGTATGTAATATCATGTTTGTCAATCTTGGAGGCACACTTGGAATGACAGGAAATGCTCATCATTAAAAAGCATATTTCACTTTAAATGCATGTTGAAGCCTTTGTGTCATAACAAGTCTGAAATTTAAAGTTTTGGTGCAAAAATGGCCCCGAAAATATAAGGTATTAGTACCTACTCTACCTGACCTGCTTACTGCTCCACCTGGCGATGAGCGTTAATGACATAGATGGAGGAGAACGTTCCGGACTGCAGCTGAAAACATTGAATAAGAGCTGGAGGAGGTGACTGATCCTGAGCATTAAATCAGTCACATGTTTAAGATTAAAGGCTCACAGCCAGAAGTTAGAACTGTTGACGGCACAGTAAACAGAGATCACATTGTTAGAAAAATGATCCAAGTTCATTTACTTATGAGTTTATTTGAAAGGTTATGTTTCATATTATTATTCTGTGTGTTGTTTCCTTGACTCCTTTCTTTTTTTGGTACACTATTAACTATTTTTTCAGATGTTTGCTTGGTGGTTAGAAATGTTTACACATGCTTGTGTTATCAGCTGCCTGTGAAGCTGATTTATAACGGACGTCCTTTTCCTGGTAAGGTCATGTCCATAGAACGTTCCAGAACATCTTGTGGGGGAACCAAAAGAGACCCAACACACATAAATTGTAGAAGAGCAGATTTTAGAATGGAAAACAATATGCACACAAGCACGGTTGCCACCTTTTAGATATGAAATTTACAAAAAACAGAAATATGAAGTACAGCGGTCCTAATTCGAACCTCAGACTGAAAATCTTTTTGCTTCCAAGCCACTTAAAATAGTTCTTTCAAATCCCAGATCACTCTGTGCTAAAGCTCTATTAGTTAATGATTTCATCACTGAATATGATATTGATGTTTCTGACAGAAACATGGTTGAATGACAATAATGACCAAATTGTACTAATTGAATCAGCGCCTCCTAACTATAATTTTTAAAGTGAGAATAGAAAACATAAACAAGGAGGCGTGGCTTCTATATTAAGAAAACCATAAATTGGAGTAAAATTTCTTTGGGTCATTTCACATCTTTTGAGTATCTAGGAATTGAGATTGAAGGCCACAAACAAACTTTGACACTAACTTTATACAAAAGTCCAACATATGTGGAAAATTTCTTTACTGACTTGAATGATCTTCTTTCTCTCATATGCATTGATTATGATTGTTTAATAATTGTTGGTGATTTCAACATTCATGTGGACAAAACCGAAAACAGAGGAGCAAAATAGCTCTCTGATATTTTAGAAAATTTTGGTTTAACACAACATGTCAAAAAGCAACACACACTCAAGGACACACACTGGACCTGGTTATCAGTAAGGGTGTGAATATTTCCAATGTCTCTGTAACTGATGTCGCCCTGTCGGATCACTTTGCTGTTATCTTTGACAGTTTTTTATTCTTTGACCAACTTGGACAAACAGCTACTGTCACAAAACGTTCCTTCACAGAAAACACAGCAGAAACATTTAATCAAATCTACTCTTCCTCCTCACCCTTAAACTGTAATGATGTAGATAAGTTGGTAGATGATTTTCAGTCTGAAGTTTCATATATCATTGATTCCATTGCTCCAATTAAACGAAAGGTTGTTTCTGGTAGGAAGAAATCTCCACAGAAAAATGCACAAACAGTTCGATCTGCAAGACAACTCTGTCGCAGGGCAGAACGACAATGGTGTAAAACTCAACTTCACGTTCATAATGACATCTATAAAGAAAGACTATGTAACTATCACGCAACACTAAAACATGGAAGGGAGGCTTTTTTTTTGCAGATGTCATAAACAATGCTGGAGCTTTATTTGCAACAGTTGACAGACTCACAAACCCTCCCATGATGTTACCATCTGAATTCAATCTAATGCTGATGGAACAAGCTTTCCAACTTCTTTTCAGAGAAAATTCAAAAAATCAGAGGATTAATTATTGCTGTACCTAAACAAAACAAATACAGGAAAAATGACCACTTTTCAACTATTTAATTATAAAATCCTAGAAGAAATTATAAGTCAATTAAGTTCAAGCTCCTGCTGTCTGGATGTCCTTCCCACACATTCTTGAAGAAAGTCCTGCCTGTTATTGTTACTGATCTGATCCAAATAGTAACTCATCGCTTACATCAGGTGTTTTCCCCCAGGCTTTGAAAACAGCAGTTATCAAACCACTGCTAAAATAGAACAATCTGGACAAATCACTACTGCAGAATTACAGGCTGACCTCTGACCTGGTTGGTCTCTTGCCTTGCTGCTGAAATATGCTATACAAATAAAATTTGATTTGATTTGATTTTATAAAAACACAGGATGTCACCACAGTGGGATGTCCACAGAAGGGGTACATTTAATTTACTGCTGGTTTTTTTGTAAAAAAAAAAAAAAAAAAAACAACAACTCAGTAGTGGAATCATTACAAATGTGGATTAGGGTGCCCAAAAATTGCACTCCAATCAGAGTAATATAACTTCAACATGTGAAGTGTTAAGCTTCAAATCAAAGTGTAAAAAGTATTTGGTAAAAAGTTAATTATTCTAGTACTGAAAACTGATTATAATGGTCACTGGAATCGCTGAGCCTTAGATGGACGTCTTCCCACTCACATCTGTACTTATGCAAGAGTTTTTGTTTGTAAGGAGGCGGAGTTTAAAAAGACGCAGGTTGATAGCAGCTCACTTTGGCTGTGTGGTGTTCGTCTTTAAGCAACCGTAACAACAGTGTCGGACCATAACGTTCTGGAGGGTCCGTTGTACATCCAATTAGAGTCAAAAGTGTTCATATTCCTGGAAAAATTAATAACTCTCTCCACCCACCTTCTTGCAGGTCAAAGCTGTGACACTGGTTTGTTGTCTTTCTGCCCCTTGCTGCTCTTATGGTGGTACTTTAGTGGATTTGAGTCTGATTTTGTCATTTCTTCTGGATCCCATCTAATATTAATTTGGGTCGCTTTGTTTTGTGAACCTCCTCACAGAAGTATGTACTGCAGATTACCATGTTGGTGGTGAACTCTTGACTTCCGCTGGACAAATATCCTGCAGAGCTAAAATAAAATCTTTTCCACCACCAAACCAATACCAGTTGCAGCCTGATCAGCTGCACATACCTGTGCAAACCAAACCTCCTTCAGCTCAGCAGTCAGACAGTAGGGCTCCGTTCTCCTCCAGTTATGTTTTGCAAACCACATGATTTTTCCTGAAGTAGAGCTTTTTAAGTGATTCAATTCTTTCAAACGTTGACTAGCAAGTTACAGATCAAATACAGTAACCATAGTTTGACCAGTTTGACCTTAGAAAATACTTTTCTACCATTTAAAAGAACCTAAAATATGACTTTAAGATGCATTAAAAGTGTGAGGAGACCTTCTGTATTCTTGATTGCTTGAAACTTACAATTTGCTGCCCTCTTTCTTTCAGACTGATTTCCCCCAGCTTCTGCCTAACTTCAGCTGTTTGTGTATCTGTTCTTGCTTCCTGCCAGTGCCAGGGTCTGCCAGTCTTTGCTCTCCAGCATGCCCAGTTTGATTTCATAACAGCTCCTGTCTAACTATTTCTAACTGTTAATCCATAATCTTAACTATGGCTTTTCTTATTAATTCCACCTACAGAAATGCACCATGGTTGATTTTAGATGTGGCTAGTTATGTGGGAATATGGTATCCAAAGTTAGCCTTTATGTGCAGACAAGCTGGAAGTTCTCTAGCACAGTTAGGATATTCTAATTAACGTTTTATTATAGTTAAGGTTGTACAGCACCATCCTGGTAAGAATATGTTAAAGGTCTGATTATTTATTTCATCAGAAATGTCTTTCCAATTTTCAAGTGTCTAAGATAAGCAGACCTCTGTGTTGTGACACAGAGGTCTGCTTAACATGGATATTATTTAGGTTCCTTGGAACACAAATCAATGCAATAATGTTTTAGTTATTAAATCATTCCTGCCACATATCAAAAACTACACTGTGCCATTTGTAAAGTTTCACATCAAAAATTAACAGCAGTTATTTGAGTTCCTCAAAGAGAAGAAATGGGGGTTGATGATTATAAATACCTTAGTGTTTATATTCTACACCCTAAAAGTGAAAAATGTATAAGAAGAAAAAGAGCAGACTGGACTTCTTGAGGAAGATCTTCTACGTTGTTGAGAGTTTCATCTCTTCTGCTGTCATCAACCAGGGACCTCAAAAGGCTCAACAGCCTGATAAAGAAGGCTGGTTCTGTTCTGGTTCTGGTTCTGTTCTGTTCTAGTTCTGGTTCTGGTTCTGGTTCTGTTCTGTTCTGTTCTGTTCTGGTTCTGTTCTGGTTCTGTTCTGGTTCTGGTTCTGTTCTGTTCTGTTCTGTTCTGGTTCTGTTCTGTTCTGGTTCTGTTCTGGTTCTGGTTCTGGTTCTGGTTCTGGTTCTGTTCTGGTTCTGTTCTGTTCTGTTCTGTTCTGGTTCTGTTCTGGTTCTGTTCTGTTCTGTTAAGGTTCTGTTAAGGTTCTGTTCTGGTTCTGTTTTGTTCTGGTTCTGTTTGTTCTGTTCTGGTTCTGTTCTGTTCTGGTTCTGTTCTGTTAAGGTTCTGTTCTGGTCTGTTCGGTTCTGTTCTGTTCTGTTCTGGTTCTGTTTGTTCTGTTAAGGTTCTGGTTCTGGTTCTGTTCTGGTTCTGGTTCTGTTCTGGTCTGGTTCTGTTCTGGTTCTGTTCTGTTCTGTTCTGTTCTGTCTGTTCTGGTTCTGGTTCTGGTTCTGTTCTGGTTCTGTTTGGTTCTGGTTCTGTTCTGGTTCTGTTCTGGTTCTGTTCTGGTTCTGGTTCTGGTTCTGTTCTGTTCTGTTCTGGTTCTGTTCTGGTTCTGGTTCTGTTCTGGTTCTGGTTCTGTTCTGTTCTGTGGTTCTAGTTTGGTTCTGTTCTGTTCTGTTCTGTCTGTTCTGTTCTGGTTCTAGTTCTGGTTCTGTTCTGTTCTGTTCTGGTTCTGTTTGGTTCTGGTTCTGGTTCTGGTTCTGGTTCTGTTCTGGTTCTGTTCTGGTTCTGGTTCTGGTCTGTTCTGGTTCTGTTCTGGTTCTGGTTTGTTCTGTTCTGGGAAAGACTGTGGAACCTCTGGAGATGATATTGCAAAGAAGGATTCTTCATAAAATCAGGAAAATTATCCTGAAAATGTTCTTCACAGGATTGTCTTTAGAGAACAGTGTCTTTAGTCAGAGGCTTCTTCAGATTTCCTGGAATACAGTCCTCTACAGTAGATTATTCCTGGCAACAAAACTTTTTGAAGAACAACATTTGAATTCCTTTCAGGATCATAAAGTATTTTTGAATCTGAATTAATTGATTTTTCAAAGTTATATTTTCACAATATCATTCATTCATTTATAGATGTCACATTTTCTAACTGAATGTTTCCGAATTAAACAAAACATTTTGCTTCCAGCTTTGTATATACCTCATAAAACATTTTTGTTAGCAAGCTAATATTTAGTTTGCAATAAAATATTTAGTTTGTAGTTAAATGTTTAACTTCAAAGTGAATTTCAGTTTGAAGCCTAATATTTAGTTTGTAAGCAATATTTTTACATCTAAATTTTGAACTGAATATTTGGTCAGCAAGCCTTAAGTTAGTTAGCCTTAAGCTAAATATTCAGCTTAAGCCTTAAGCTAAATATTCAGCTTAAGGCTAACTACATATTTACCTTGGACAGAAAATTGCCTTGCTAAATATTAGTTAGCCAGATGAACATTTAACCCAAATCTTTGGTTATTTAGCCTCAGGAGGGAGAAAAATAGCGGTTGATTTGTCAAAGTCATATTTTCACCGTGTTATACATTTATTTATGAGTTTAAAACAAATATGCAATTAGTAAGCTAAGCTGCTAAGAATTCAGTGTAGAGTTAAACATTCAGTGGCAAGTTAAATATTACCTTGCTGACTACAAATTTTGTTATAAGGCAAATAGTTGGTTCAGAGCAACATATTTTGACTTTGAAAATGAATCCCATTTCTTCCCTTATGTTAGGCAAAAAACTCAAATGATTGCTGTTGTTTTGACTGTGCAACTTTAGAAAACGGCACACCATAAAAACACCCATAATTTAGTATTTTTCCATATCTGGTTGACTTTGCTACTGCAGTAAGAAGTCCAGATTTGAATGTTTTTTGTGCAGGATGCTGTAACCTCCAATAGTCCTTTTTAAATGATGTGTCTTTGTATCTCTTTCTTTCTTTTTTGAGAGAACAATCACTTGCTTACAAAACAATTCGATTTTCCATTCAACCAAAACATTGTGTGCTTTCTCCTCCACTCTGCTGCGGATGGATGCTTGGCGTATCACACAGTAAACTCCACCTCCCCACAGCCCCTCCACCTTTAAATGAGGGAGAGAGTTTGGTTAGCAGAATCCTCCAGCTTGGTCCTCCGGGGACTAAATTTCTTGGGTAGGGTGATAAGGCTTTATAAAGCATAGAATATTGCATAGGAAACAATCGATGGATGTCAGCCTCAGATTCTGCCTTTCACTTCATATATGATTTCTGCATGTTTTTTTCAGATTTTGTAAGCCCTTCCCTTAATGTCTGGGCCCTCACTTTATGTGTTGCACTTCTGTCTGTTCTTGCTTTGCCTTCCCCTCTTTATGCTTTATTCTTTATTTTTTCCATAGAAACTCTTCTTGTCCGTTGTGACCCCCACCACATTGGACAAAAAAGTTGGGTACCCAGAAGGATTGGTTGATGTTAGGCATAACTTGGTATGAGTGGCATATAGGAGGCTCTGATTGGCCAACCACAGTTTGATTGCATTTGTATAGATCAGATCTGAGCAACCAGAACGACATTAGAGAGCATAACAATTACCAAAGAGAAAAATATTCTGTCTGAAGAACATCTAACCAATGAGGTCACCCTGTCTTTTGCCAGTCAAACTTGCATTAGGAAAAGTTCCAGCAGATTTTTGCCAACATGCTATTGGAGAAAATAACACATTTTACTCTGAGAGTACTATTGATATGCTTGTTCTACCACCCTTTATATTGGTAGAACAATAAAGTAGGTTATATTTATAACTTTTTTGTTTAAATATTGTAACCACTGCAGTCACATGACCCTCAGTCAGTTTCACTGCATTTTTGCCATTCTGTCTGGGTATTTAGCTTTTTGTCACTAAGTGTGCAGCTCTCTCTATCAATTTGTGAAATTGAAATGGTTGTTTGGCCACAGTGCGCTGACTATAGTGTTGTTTTGCTGCACTTTAGCACTGTTTATTAGCTATAAACTATGAATTCTGGCAAATAATTCTTATTTGTTGGTCAGTTAGTATTGAAATTGTTGAAATTGACACCATTAAATGTTTTGCTACATCTTTAACTGAGTCAGTATGATCCATACAATTTACATTAGGAAAGCATTGTATTTAATGACAGTTTCCTCGATGTATTCATCAGCAACAGTGTCAATTTATAAAGTAGGATTGCCAGGGCAAAGAACCATTTCATATCAAAATGAGCTCTTGCATTTTTAGTGTTATATTTTTGGTCTTTTCTTTCTACATGCTGAAGGAATATTTCATTTTTGTATATATTTGACGGACGGTGAAGTATCTTAACTTATCTTATTTCAGTTCAATAAAGGCTTATGTGTAATAAGTACTTCAGCTAATATCGTAATAATATTCAGTTATGAAATATCTGCTATGCATTCCAATAGAATTCATAAACAGTGACTTCAGGCCTATCAACAAATCTCAGTGTAACTTTTGCACTTTGCTCCATAGTTTAGCCAGTTTGACACTAATTTGGACACGTCAAAAAGTTCTATAACAAATTGCATTCCTGCTCTGCACATATTTATCACTGCAATGGAATTGATGCAGTTTCCTCTCAAATGTTTCAGCAATCCACTCGTCAATCACTCTGTCTGAGCTGATAAAACTTCAGTTACCTTAGTCTCACTGAGGCCGAGGCACCAAACAATTGCTGGCACAATGTTTTTTTCCATCAGGCCATAATCTGAGTGAAATACTTTATCTTCCCTCATCTCCCCTAGTCCTGTGATTGTTGAAATCCCCCACTTTGCCTCACTCCGAGGGAAGGAGCGGGAGTTGGTGATCCTCAGAAGTGAGACAGGAGAGAGCTGGAAGGAGCATCAGTGTGAACACACACCAGAGGAACTCAATCGGATTCTGAATGGCATGGATGAGGGTCAGTGTCCGAAACACGCAAGAACAAAAACACAACCTATGTTGTCACAAATAACTCCCCATACATATGGGGAAAAAGAGATGGTGGTTCATTTTACAAAATCATAATTTCACCATGCTATTCATTTATACATTTCACAATTTCCAAAAAACATATTTAATTGAATTAATCAGTTTACAAACTAAATAAATGGTTTGTATATATTTAATATACAAACTAAATATTACACTAATTATTTAGCCTTAATTTAAATATTCAGTTAGCATGCTAAATATTTAGTTTGAAGATAAATATTTAGCTCTTTGCTAAATGTTGACCTCTGGTGAAGTCATGGCTTCCATTAGTGAACATCTGTGAGGCCAACAAAAGGTTCATCCTCTGTTTTAAACTGAACTGTTGGACATGAAGACATGAGCAACAACAGAAGCCAATCAGTCACCAGCAGGAGTTTATGCAGAGCTTCCAAGACCCAGCTTTTATTTTGGTACTCCTGCTTATTAGCAAGTGACTTTGCAGAATAGCTCAATATTTAATTTTGTGCTAAATATTTAGGTTGAAACTAAGGAAGCTTTAAACTAAATATTTAGCTTGAAGTTAAATACACTAGAGTTTAAAACAAAATATTCAAAATATTTCATTAAAAAATAAATTTATAATCAAGAATATTTAAACACATTTAGTTCCAAAATAAATACTAGTTTAAAAGTAAACATTTAGCTTGCTGACTAAATATTTAATTCAATATTTTGTTCAAAATTGTGACATTTATGAATGAATAAATGACATAGTAAATACATGACTATGAAAAATAAACCCCCATTGTTTTCTGTTATAACAGGCTAAATAATCAAAATTGTTGCTGTTGTTTTTTAAGGGTTTAACTTTGCAAGCAGTATCTCATACACAGAAGTCCTGACATATGTCCTGTTTCACCTCCTGCCTTTAGAACTGGACCCACCAGAGGAGCTGGAAAGGAAACGCCTTTGCAGAATTATTACAAGAGACTTCCCCCAATATTTTGCAGTGGTGTCACGCATCAAGCAGGACAATAATTTGATTGGTCCAGAGGGAGGCATCCTAAGTAGTACTGTTGTGCCGCAAGTGCAGGCAGTTTTTCCAGAGGGGGCGCTCACCAAGAAGATTAGAGTTGGACTTCAGGTAACTCATTGAGCCTGCAGTCCCACTTTGATGCCACACCACCTGCTTTCATTCCTTTTTTATTATCTTCTTTTTCAGGCACAGCCAGTGAATATAAGTGTAGTGAGAAAGATCCTTGGAAACAAGGCCTCCTTCAGTCCTATTGTCACCTTGGAGCCTCGCAGGAGAAAGTTCCATAAACCCATCACCATGACCATCCCTGTCCCCAAGAGCAACTCTGACCCAATTCTTAACGGTTTTGGAGGGGACCCGCCCACATTACGACTTCTCTGTAGCATAACTGGTCAGAAAATGCTCATGTATACTTTTGCAAAACTAAGCAGTGCTTGTTGAGACCCTTTCTTACTCTAAGCAAATAATTTTGTGTCAATGTTCAGGAGGAACAACGCCTGCACAGTGGGAGGATATAACAGGGACAACACCGTTAACATTTATCAATGACTGTGTCTCCTTCACCACCAACGTTTCCGCAAGGTAAGAATGTTAAGAATTGCCTATGATAAATTATTTGTTGAGTTCTGGGTGACTGAGTTCCCACCATGTTGATTTCTGCTGCTTCTTGTTTCAAGGTTCTGGCTGATAGACTGTCAACAAGTCCAGGAATCTGTCAACTTCTCCACTCAAGTGTATCGAGAGATCATCTGCGTTCCCTACATGGCCAAGTTTGTGATCTTTGCCAAAACCCATGACCCGATCGAGGCCCGGTTACGCTGTTTTTGCATGACTGATGACAAGATTGATAAAACATTGGAACAGCAGGAGAACTTCACTGAGGTGGCTCGGAGCCGGGATGTAGAGGTGAGATGGAAGGTTGGACCCGGAATTTACCAAAGCCTCGTATTGTGGCTTCCCACAGTACGTCTTCACATTACAGACTACTGACAAAGTAAATACAGTTTATTTATTTAGTTTTTATTACATATTTGCTAAGCTTTTTTTTAAAGTCTTGACACCAGCAACAATTTTTTTTTTCTTTCACAAGTTTAAATTGACTTGTGAGAGGGTTTATAAGAAAGGAGGCCTGAAATTAATCGGTGGTCCATGGGGAACACCACAAGTCTTCCTTCACATAGGTGCCAAGGATGTAGATAAGTAAACTAAAATAAAGAGCTCCATCTTGTTATCTTTCTGTCATAATGGCATTTTTGTCAAAAGTGATTTTGGATATAAAAAAATACCACCCCCTTTTTCACTGCCAAAGTTATACGAGTGCAAAATATAACGACTTTTGGCAAAAGATGACAGGCCATGTATTTTAGGAAGGTGATGATTTGGTGGGCTAATTACACTGACTCATTTTGTCAGGTACTGGAAGGGAAACCTATATATGCAGACTGTTTTGGAAACCTGGTTCCACTCACCAAAAGTGGCCAACATCATCTGTTCAGTTTCTATGCCTTTAAGGAGAACAGGCTAGCACTCTTCATCAAAGTAAGAATGGTTCCTTGCTACATTACACCAGAACATAAAGCTGTTTTTTTATGTCATTTACATGGTCTTGTACATATTACAGCATAAGTTAGTTCTGTGATCTGCCTGCTTATGTAGATCCGAGACAACACCCAGGAACCATGTGGTCGACTGTCATTCATGAAGGAACCCAGGAACTACAGGTCACTTCACCAAAATGCCATATGCAACCTCAACATCACGCTTCCATCTTATAGCAAAGTAAGAACTCTACAAAAATCTTTTCTCCATCTTTGCATTCCTGTGTTAAAACTGGCATCCAATGAGCCAGTTTTAACACCTTTGACTTTTAATAATGTTGGTCTTGGTGGCAATTTTTGCTGATAATATGGCAAAGGTTAAACTAATTTGATATTCAATAGTGGTATGAAAGCACAAATGACAATGATGACTTGAATAAATGTAGAACAGAAAAATGCTGTTCATATCAACCTGGTTCTTTGTAAAAAACATAAATCTTTGGTTAGATCATCAATAACTTATAAATTAATGAATAATCATCCATCCATCTATCCATCCATCGTCTGCCACTTATCCGAGGTTGGGTCACGGGGGTAGCAGCTCAAGAAGGGAGGCCCAGACTTTCCTCTCCCCAGCCACTTCCTCCAGCTCCTCCGGGGGAATCCCGAGGCGTTCCCCAGCCAGCCGAAACATAGTCCCTCCAGCGTGTCCTGGGTCTTTCCAGGGGCCTCATCCCGGTGGGACGTGTCCGAAACATCTCACCAGGGAGGCGTCCATCCTGACCAGATGCCCGAGCCTCAACTGGCTCCTCTCCATGTGGAGGAGCAGCTGACTGACTGGGGCTCCAGTTAAAACAGCTGGGATCAACTGGCAGACTTTAATATAAATACATGAACAAACCTTTATGTAACCTTTCAAATAAAATTCTTTATTAATGTAAAATAAACAATAAGGATGTAAACAGTGACTTGTATAAAATGTTGAGTAACTATGTTAAAATTTTCGTAAACATGAGCTTATGTGTTGCAGAAATCTAATGTTCCAATCTTTGAAGTTTATTTCTCTATGTACAAAATCAATCTACTTAAGAGCAACAATAATAATATTTCTCGTAGTAATAATAATATTATAACATTGAGAGCTTTTTACTCTCAAGTAAAAGAAAAACAGTAAAATGCAGTAAAACTTCTCATATAAGTACCAAAAAGTTACTCATATTAATGTAAGCAGTTCTACCCACTTTTGAATAGCAAAATTAATAGCCTATTTTTAACAAGATTAGCATGATATATTGTTGTGGAATAGACATCATTTAGCTAACACTATCTGCATCCAAAAACATTACTATACTCACTTGGTTAGTTTGTGAAAAAATAGCTTCCAGTCCAGGGGGGCACAACAGACTCTTTCCTGACCTAAAACTAACACAATTTAAAATCAAAAATCATCAAACTGACAGTCAAACATGGTGGTGGTGTAATTGCCTGAGACTGCTTTGTTGATTCAGCAAAAGAGAATGTCCAAGAAACGGCTCAAGACCTTCAGCTTAATCAAACTTGAACAATAATCCAAACCAAACCAGCAGGTCCTCTTCTGAATGGCATCAATAAACAAAAGGAAGGTTTTGGATTGGCCTGTGTCCAATAAAATTTTTATCATAATTTAAAACTTGCTTTTTGTGTTTTATATAAAATACATGTAAGTATGATTTTGAAAAACATGCCTAAGCAGAAGAAAACAGTTAAAGGTAAATGGTCTGTATGGCACTATTTGAACATATCAAGTGGCAAACAATCATTACCAGCATTATTACGTTACTGTTGCAACAGGCAACGCCATCTCCAGATATGAAGAGGAACGGTTGTGGCAGTTTTTCAGGTGTAATCCAGACTCCAGTCTTTAAACTAAGTCTTCAGTGTTTTTATTCCCATCTGTCAGTTGAAGTTTGACAGATGTGACAGGCTGTTTGTTCCTACATTGAACATGCATTTCCACCTGTTTTTACTGCTCCTGTGTTTATATCTGCACTCCCTTCTTCTTTCCTGCTGCTTTTTGCTCTCATAAGGACTCAGATTCAGACCAAGAGCATGAGGAACAGGTAAAAGCAGCCGCTGTTTCCTCTTCCCCTTTCTTCCCAGCTGATTATCCGTTTCACTGCGTGACCATTAGCACTAAATGGGATTTTGCAACATCCTTGCTTGTTAATGACATAGTTGATAAGATTAGAATTTCTTTAAGATGCATTAATGAATGTGATGTACAGTATATGTTGGGTGTAGTTTTTGCCAAGTAGTTTTGGTGCTTTTTACACAGCCCTGGTCATCTAAGCAAACTAACTGTAAGCCATTCTATGTGTTCTCTTTCAGACCGGCAGAACCTTTGACAAATGTAAGCTATTCCTTTCATTTATTTCATCTATTCTTAAAGAAATTCTGGACACAAAACACATTTTAGACTTATTGATGTGTAATGTCTAATTTAATCTCATTAACAAAAGCAATGGTATGAGGAATATATCCAATATACATAATAACTAAAAGCATACATTAACATATCTAGCCTGCTCTCAACTATTTCCTCATAATTCAAGCTTTTTTTCCCCAGCCATCCCTCCCCATGTTGTTGTTCTGTTTCTCCTGAGGCTTAGCTACTTAACTTGCCTTTGCTTGTAGTTTCACCTTTACAGTTGTCATTAATTTAACAATTGAACCTTCAGAGTTCAAAATTGTTCATTTAAAGGACAGTTTTGACTGGAGAGAAGATATTTGTGATGGTATTTGCTCTTATGCAGGTCTACCAAATATTCCCTCTGCAACATTTGTAAATTAGAAGAAGGATCCATGTGCATCTTTGTTTAATTGTTTTAATAAGTTCAATATAGATAGCTAAAATTTGACCCAAAACAATTTATGCATTTAATGTAGCACTTGCTGTAGCTTCTGCTGTTGTAGTAAATCAAGCAGCAGTTCTCCACCTAACCGCCTCCCAAGCCTTGCCATCCAACACTAAAACCTTCAAGTATTTAGTATAAAGCTCATGTTATACTCCAATATATATGAAGCATTCTTAATTCACAGGAGTTACATGCGCTGCATGCATGGGCACATATTGACAGATGGAGGGTTTTCTAAACGAACCACAAGCAAAACTGTTTAACTCCATTCACTCTCTTCCATGTCCTCACCCTTTGCACTTCCCTTTGCTTTGCATGGAAATAACTTGCCTAACATCACTTTGTGTGTTTCTATGGGTGTATGAATGTTTATTTCTATATCATTACTGAGAACTAATTTCTTCAGTTATATTTTTGTCATTTTATTCAGAAGTTGCTAATTAATGCATTTTCTCATGGTTTTTTTAAACATTGTTGAATATTTTCAAATTCCTAAAGGACCAAACATGTTTTAAGAATATATTGGTGCAGTTTATAGCCATTTTTAAAATGGTTTATAAATTGACATTGACATTTTAAATTGTTATCAGTAGCATTTCACTGGCTTTCTTCAGCAAGTCAATTGTTGTTTTCTTTTTTAAAAGCAATTTTGTCATCATTACATGACATATGTCCTACTTCTGAGCAATCTTGAGATCCCTCAGCGTCCTTATGTCTTGCGTTGTCCTTTTCTATGCTGTATATATTGATTTCCTTATACTTGTCATATTTTGTTTTGCTTAATGGTTTGGTCTTGCGAGTGTGGGTGCGAGAGCTTAAGCAAGTTATTTCCTGCTCATATCTTTTCTCATTGTTTTTTGTTTTTTTTATTGGAATTAACTCAATCATAATTTCCTGAAACATGAGAAAGTATAAACCTAATTCCTACCGTAGAACCCATTGTGAATATAATGTCCTATGATCCCTGTACCCTGTTCCAATCTTATCCTGACCACCTTCTCCAATGTTTGTCTCCTTTCATTTGAATTTTTGCTTTTCTTTACTCCTTACTTGTTCTTCTTCCAAATGGAAGATGAAGAGACGGAGACTTCAGTCCTGAAATCTGAGCTGATTCGAGAACCAGACCTTCTGTCCGACGTGTCAGAGATGAAACAGGATTTGATCAAAATGACTGCCATCTTGACCGCAGACTCGACAGAGAAATCCCCTTCCTTAGGAAGGTGTGGTCTAGAGAAGGGGACAGAGGAGGTTTCTGGAGAACCTTTAGAAATAATGGAAAAGGACCTGGAGAAAGTCAAGGAGGACCTTGAGAAAGTCAGTGAGATACTGAGAAGTGGAACATATGAGGATGAGGTGGTAGAGGCGGCAGCTAGCGCAACTAAAATTGCTGAAGAGTGGGTACTCCTCTCAGACTCTGAAATAGAAGAGGCAAAAAACATGGCTGCCCTAGGAGTTCAGGAGCCCATCTTGCGTGACAGTAAGGCTAAGAGAGGGGCTCCCAGACCAAAAGCCATCAAGAGCAGTGGTGACCTTAAAGAATACCTCCTGGATGCACCAGTGAGTGCCAAAGTAAAGACTAAAAAGAGATAGGTGTCCAAGAAAAATTCACTGATGTACTACGGAAAAATGCAAAACCTTCTGTTCAAGTCAAATCCCATGAAAGAAACATAACTGGTGATGTTACAAATCAGTTAGAAGGAAGGGAAAAGATCATGAGCAGGCAGAGGGATCAACAGAAGCAGGAGCTCTTCTTAGCATACCAACAGCTCCTACTCCTGCATCACCCGTGTCCCCAGTGATCGAAGAAACCCCTATAGGGTCAATAAAGGACAAAGTCAAAGCCTTACAACAAAAAGTTGAGGCTGAACAAAAGAGCAAAAAAGCCACTGGAAGCAAACCCTCACATTTGCCTGTTGCACGTAAATCATCAAAAGCCAAAGAATCATCTAAATCCAAACTTCCTAAGTCCCCAAAAGCTGAATCGGAAAAGCTTGAGGAAACAATGTCAGTTAAAGAACTGATGCAAGCATTCCAAACAGGACAGGATCCTTCAAAGAGAAAGTCGGGGTTATTTGAGGTTAAAACAGCTGCAACAAGATCAGAGAAAGCCACACCATCTCAATCTGTTCAGTCAAAATCTATGATGAAAGCAATGACCTCACATGCCTCACAAGGTCAAGAAGTATTGTTGGATCCCAAAAATGCCAAAAACAGACTACTTTGCAGGAAAAATATATAGAAATCAAATTTAGCACTCACTCAGAACCATCTGAAACACTAGACTTTGGAAATGGTGGCATTGACAATAGCTCTGAGAACTGTAAACATGAGGGTGTGGTCAAATCACTAAGTGGCAGTTATGGAGATCACCTTAACTCAGAAGACAGTTACAAACATGAGGGTTGACTAGTTCAGGCAGAACCCCTGAGAGTCTGTATGGACTGCAGTCAACTACAACATTGTCAACAACTTCCACAAAAGTTAAAGACCTTACAGACAAGGACAAGTCTGGAGACTCTGGTGACCAGGTATCAACAGAATTGACACTCCGTGTCTCTTCCAGCGAGGCTGCAGATGACCACACAACAAGTGAGTCAATGTCTCTTACGAGGGCTGAATCTAAGCCAACTAGACCTCAAAATCTTATTAAGAGAGTTTCAGAAACGGTAGAAACATTTCTTAGTGATGACAATAGCCCTGATGATCAGATAACATTGCCATTAATTGGTTCTCCAGTGTCTAGATCCCCATGTAAATATGATGAAAGCTTTGACCTACCTTTAAAGCAAGAATTGGATGCCCTCAGTCCATTAGCTGATGACTCTTTGACAATAAGCCATAGAGACTCTTTAGAAGGTAGTCCTCTGATTGAAGAAAATTCGTCACATAAATCCCCAGACTCTATTGAGCCCAGTCCAACCACAGAATCATCCCCTTGTGATTCCCTGGAGAGCAGTCCTGTACAGCAAAAAAGCCACTCATCATTCCCACCGGTACACAATGCTAAGTCGCCGTCTACCTACACATCACACTCTCAGGCCAAAGACCTCCCCCAAGATGCTTTTCATGGTAGGCTGCTTGGAGACCCTGAAAATACTGCTGATGATGACAGTTGAGCAGACATCTCAGATGACAAGTTCGGGTAAGAGTCTCCTCTCCCCTGATACACCTAGTTCTGAAGAGGTAAGTTATGAGGTAAACCCCAGACTCCTTGATAATGCATTTCTTTGCATTTCATTCAAACCGGCTGCTATCCCTGAAGACCCAGCAGAGGATGATGCAACATACAACTATGAAGCTAAGAAAGAAATCACTCCAGAGGAGGAAATGTTTAAGATGGCTGCCAAAATAAAAACATTTAATCAAATGGAACAAGACCCAAAGAGCAACAGGAGGTTTAGCAAAGACTTGTTTTTCTCAGGAAATGACAAGACAGGGGATAACAGTTGTGAAACATTAAAGCCCAGCACTGAAAAGTTTTTGCAAATTGAATGTCGACTCAATAGACACACAGAAGATTCAAAATTAGCTAATTTTATTGGTCCAGATATTAAAGTACAACCTCCCTCTCCTTTTTCAGCAGGTGTGCATGATGGAACCCAGAGCAAAGAGGTCAAGAATACATCAGCCACTGTCACTTCAGAGGGATCTCATTCTGTCTCAGACCAGCATCATTCAAAATCCAATCTGAAAACCTCATGGGATGAAGTCCCATCGTTTACTGAAGCTGTTAACCATGTTTGTAACACAACATCAGCAACTTCAAGTGTTGAAAACAGGACAGATGAACAAAAACAGGAGAGTTTGAAAAGGTCAAGTGATAATGTAGATAATACAGGTCATATGTTAGATGTTAGCAAAGTACAGACAGGAATGCAAAAACCAAATTGCAATGTAACAGATGAGGTGAAAGAGGATAGATGGGGTCATGCAGGAGCACCGAAAGCTGAGCTTTGTCCTGGAGTTGCTACAAGTCAAACAAAATATGAAGTCTTTATCTACAATGATGGTGAAGAAGAGAATGAGACATCAAATCTTCCTAGAACTGAATCAAAAGGAGTAACTGCAAGAGTGGAGACTGAACCATGGTCTGCCATGCGAGAAGATGATGTCACTTTTGCAGCACGTGTAAAAGATGAAGAACAGAAGATCCTGAATCTGGTGATGGACCGTCAGTCTGTGCAAGCAACTCCAGACACCACACCTGGTAGAACACCAACAGAAGAGAGCAGTCCTACCAGTGAGCCCAACCCTTTTCTTTTCCAGGAAGGGAAGCTCTTTGAAATGACACGGAGTGGTGCGATTGATATGACAAAGAGAAGCTATGAAGAGGAGGGGGGTGGCTTTGCTTTTTTTCAGATAGGTGACCAGTTTTTAGAGGAGCCTAACGTAAATGAATCCAGGCAAGAAAATAGATCAGCTGGAGAATCAGCAATAGGTCTCAATTTAACATTGGAGCTTGACATTGGGGAAGATGCAATATTAAAAGATATTACTGATTCGCAGCTTCAGTCCCCATCGGAGGGAGATCAGTTAGGCTGTAAAGCTGATACGTCCAAATCTAAAATCCCCAAAATGGGCATTTCAGCTTCTGCTAAAACTTCAAAGAAAGATCTGGTATGCCCCGAACCTTTTGAGACGAAAACTGAAAACAACATAAGTGAAGGATCATTAGATTTAGAAACAACTGAACAACCAATAACAAATGTACAGACCGCAGAAACTACTGTAACTAGATCGGTTTACTCTGAGCAAGGCCAAGAGTCCTCTGATTCCTCCCCAGAAAACAAAGTCAGTGGTAGAAGCCCAAAACAACAGGCAAGCAGCCACTTAAAGGTGCTTCCCAAAATGGTAAGATACAAAGCACAGCCAAAGCACAAGCTAGGTCTGTTCCTCAAAGTCGAGCAAAATCTATAATTCCCTCACCCTCTCATGTATCGCCCTCCTCAACAGCTTTTAAAAAAGAGACCTACTTTATTTCAGACTCTAAATCCAGGATACCTATCAAGACTAGCTCTGCCAAACCTGATTCTCATGCCAAACGTATGGAATCTGATCAAGAGAAAAAGCTTAAAGTTTCTGTAAAAAAGGGTACTAGGAGAAAATCTGAGACAGATGCAGGTCCTTCTGTGGATTTTAAAACTAAGACACAATCTTCTAAAGCCAAAAGCTTCTGTGAGGGGGAGTCTACGAGATCACCTATTAAAAAGGTGCAGGATAGTCCTGTGAGCGTTGAGTCTGTAAGATCTAAAGGTTTTCAGTCCAGGTTGCCAGTCCGTGGCAAAACTACTCACTCATGTCATTCAACATCCACTAAACCAAAAAGCAAACCACAGAAACAGTCTATTGAGTTCTTTGAAGAGATCAGTGATGAAGCAGCAAAAGTCGTGGCAAGGTTGGCACAGGCTGAGACAGATAAAGATGAAGAAGCTGTGACTGCTCTCTCAGATGATGAGATAAGTCTTATTGATCCATCCATTATTGAAAGAGAACCCTTCCCAGATCTGCAGTTCCCACCCTCAGGAGACGTCTTTCCCATTAGACCACTGTGGGACGACCCTGTTGAGACACAGATGCAGCGAATTCCAGATGATAAAGTCCAAAGTCAAGGTATCCCCCAGTTATAGGGGCTATTCTCTATCTCTTCTACGTCATTAGTGCTCTAGCTGTAAAGGTGCTGCCTCTCTGTCTCTTGTAGTTTTGTCCCCTTGTACCTGAAGATCCTTGTTGCTGTGTTACTGGAGATCTTTTGTCGATGTATTGCAATCTCTCTTTCCTTCTATGTATTTTGAACATCTCAAGACTGATCTAAAGGCTTTATAAAGCCACTGAAACATATTTCACTTACTCATTAGAAAATTGGAAACAAAAATTAGGTTAAGTTTTGGGAAAAAAAAGGATTTCTATGAAGTGCTTAGGAAGCCAAACTGGTAACTGGAATTATAAAAAGAAAGCCAGTGAATTCTTTTCAGATCATGTTTGTGAATGTAATTTATCTTATGACTTTGATCATTTATGAATGTCTGGTGCTGTTTGCAGTAGATCCACAGGATGAAGCAGAAAGAAATGAGCAACGGTTGGCCATTATAGCTGATCACCTGGGCTTCAGTTGGACGGGTGAGTCACACTATATAGCAAACGTCAAGCTAAAATTTTGAAAATGTGTACTCTTTCTTATTAAAACAAAATCTGGATGTTTTGTTCTTGGAGCCACAGAATGAATTTAACTTGTCTTCTTCCCTGTCAACAGAGTTGGCACGAGAATTGGACTTCAGTGAGGAGAAGATCAACATGATAAGAACTGAAAACCCAAATTCTCTGCAAGATCAAAGCCATGCCCTTCTGAACCTTTGGACTGTGACAGAAGGACATCGTGCCTCAGGTCAATATTTCCAACAGAGCTGAAACCAGATGAACTGTATAAGAAGGCACTTTGTCATTGTTTTGTTTGCTAAAATTCTAGCCCTAACCCTAAAATTTACATATAGTTACTTGATACATATAAATATAGACTTTGGTAGAATTAACTTTTTAAGTGGTCTGAATTGGGCCAAATGTTTTGGATACTCGACCACAAGTTGCTCATAACTGAATAGATGGACTTCTAGCCCATTCCTTATGGCCTTTGACATGCAGACTTTCATGTCAAGCTTAAACTTCCCCAATATCATGAGAGGTTCCTTCATGACAAAATCTATTTCGTGAAGTGCAATAATGTAATTGAACAGATAAATTTGGACTACTCTTGGGGTTTCGTGAAATCGGACCAATAGATGCACCGGATTGTAAGAGGTTCAAAGTCCATATATACCATATATATATATAAAAATTCCCTTCTCACCCACCGCGGGTGGTTCTTATCCTCTGAGCTCGGGTCCTCTACCAGAGGCCTGGGAGCTTGAGGGTCCTGCAGTATCTTGGCTGTGCCAAGGACTGCACATTTGGACTGAGATGTCTGATGTTGTTCCTGGGATCTGTTGTAGCCACTGCTCCAGTTTGGGGGTTACTGCCCCGAGGGCCCCGATGACCACAGGCACCACTGTGGTCTTCACCTTCCAGGCCCTCTCCAGTTCTTCCCTGAGGCTCTGGTATTTCTCCAGTTTCTCGTGCTCCTTTTTCCTGATGTTGCAATCACTTGGTATTGCTACATCTACCACAACGGCTTTCCTCTGTGTTTATCCACCACGACAATGTCTGGTTGGTTCGCCATTACCATTTTGTCTGTCTGGATCTGGAAGTCCCACAGGATCTTAGCTCTGGCGTTCTCCACCACCTTTGGGGTGTTTCCCACTTTGATCTCGGGGTTTCCAGTCCATATTCTGCACAGATGTTTCTGTACACTATGCCTGCCACTTGGTTATGTTTCCATGTACGCTTTCCCTGCCAGTATCTTGCACCCTGCTGTGGTGTGCTGGACTGTCTCAGGGGCCTCCTTGCACAACCTACACCTTGGGTCTTGTCTGGTGTGGTAGATCTGGGCCTCTATTGCTCTGGTGTTTAGGGCCTGTTCCTGGGCGGCCAGGATGAGGGCCTCTGTGCTGTCCTTGAGTCCAGCTTTTTCCAGCCATTGGTAGGACTTACTGATATCAGCCACTTCAGTTTGGATGTACCAAAAGTTGGTTGCTTTTGGTACATCCCATGTAGGGGCTTGTCCTCCCATGATGGTATCTCTGGCACCTCAACCTCCATTCCCTGTTGTTGGAGACATTCATTGAGCACATTGTCTGTTGAGGCTTTGTCCCTGATGTATTTATGGATCTTAGGTTTTGTCCTGGACAGTGGTTCTCACACTCACTAGTCCTCTGCCTCCTTCCTTGCGGCTCGTGTACGGTCTCAGGGTGCTGGATTTGGGATGGAACCCTCCATGCATTGTTAGTAGTTTTCTGGTCTTAATATCTGTGACTTTTATCTCCTCCTTTGGCCAGCTAATTATTCCAGCAGGGTATCTGGCAAGGCATAGCTGTTTATCGCACGGATTTTGTTCTTGCCATTGAGCTGGCTTCTCAGGACTTGCCTTATTCGTTGGAGGTATTTAGCTGTGGCTCCTTTCCTTGTGCCTCATCGAGGTTGCCATTTGCTTGTGGTATACCTAGGTACTTGTAACTGTACTCTATGTCTGCTATTGTTCCTTGTGGGAGTGAGACTCCTTCTTTGCAGATGACCTTCCCCCTCTTTGTGATCAGCCGACCACACTTCTCTAGTCCGAATGACATCCCAATGTCCGTGCTGTAGATCCTGGTGGTGTGGATCAGTGAGTCGATGTCTCGCTCACTCTTGGCGTACAGCTTGATGTCATCCATGTAGAGACGGTGACTGATGTTGGCCCCATTTTTGAGTCGGTATCCGTAGCCTGTCTTGTTGATGATTTGGTTGAGGGGGTTCAGGCCTATGCAGAACAGCAGTGGGACAGAGCATCTCCTTGGTATATGCCACATTTGATGGACACTTGTGGTTTGCAGTTAGTTTCAAGGGTGGTTTTCCACAGCCTCATCGAGTTTGCAATGAAGGCTCTCAGAATCATGTTGATGTTATACATCTCTAGGCATTCAATGATCCAAGTATGCGGCATTGAGTCATAGGCTTTCTTGTAATCAATCCAAGCCATGCACAGGTTGGTGTGTCGGGTTTTGCAGTCTCTGGCAACTGTGTGGTCTATGAGGAGTTGGTGTTTGGCTCCTCTGCTATTTACGCCGATACCTTTCTGTGCCGTGCTCATGTGTTTATCCATGTGTTTGCTTATCTTGGCCGCTATAATGCCTGACATGAGCTTCCAGGTTGTGGAGAGGCAGGTTATTGGTCGGTAGTTGGGTGGGACTGGACCCTTTGATGGATCCTTCTGGATTAGGATTGTCCGCCCTTCAGTTAACCATTCAGGGTGAGTCCCACTTTGTAGCAGCTGGTTCATTTGGGCTGCCAGTCGCTCATGGAGGGCAGCGAGTTTCTTTAGCCAGTAGGCATGGATCATATCAGGCCCTGGTGCTGTCCAGCTTTTCATGCCTGAGACTCTTTCTTGAACATCTGTCACAGTGATGGTTACCGGGGCTTGCTCAGGGAGGTTGCTGTGGTCCTCTCGTAGAGAGATCAGCCACTGTGCATTGCTGTTGTGGGACGCCTCCCTTTCCCATATGCCTTTCCAGTATTGTTCCGTCTCCTGCCTTGGTGGGTCTGCTCCGTTGTTATTACCCTGCCATTGAGAGTACACCTTAGCTGGTTGAGTGGAGAAGAGCTGGTTAATCCTTCTAGATTCATTCTCCCTTGTGTATATCTTTAGGCGGCTGGCCAAGGCTTGGAGCCTCTGTTTGGCAGTTTCAAGTGCTTCAGGTATGGGCATCTGTACTTTCTGGGTACTGGTCTTTTCATTGTACCCTTGTGGAGCTCTGACAGTTGGCTCACTTCCCTCCTTGTTACCTTGATTTTAGCCTCTAACCGTCTTTTCCATGGTGGGTTTTGGGTCTCATGGTTGCTCTTATAGCCAAGCATCTCAAGGATCACTGATGCTGAGTTGTAGATCAGCTCATTGGTTTCTGTCATGGTGTTGGTAGGGATCGTTCTCAATGCTGCATTCACATTCTCAATGAGACTTTCTGATGGTACTTCACTCAGCCGTTGTAATTGGCGCTGAGGAGGTCTGGTTGTCATTCGGATCATGATTCTCTCTCTCAGGTCAGCAGCTGTCTCATTCAGCTCTGATTCATTCATTGGGGCCGTGCATCCCCTGTCTGGGTGGGGACTTGTAGTTAAGTCCCCACAGTTCTGAAATCCAGGTTCCTCCTTTTTTTTGCCGTAGCATTTGTGTTGTATCTCGTCAATCTCAAGTTGTGATAGCAGTTGCCGTTTGCGATGTTGGAACACTGAGCTACTAGTTGTTTAGCACTTAGTGTTGACTGGGGATGTCGAAGTAACCATTCCTTCCCCAGTCTTTGCATGTAACCTCTCTATTTAGGGTTACTTGAGTAGTAGCATTCCAACAGATCCAAGTTTTTCACCTCTCGCCCATTTACGTCTTGTTCCAGTAGCCTATTTGTAAAAGAGTGATGACTTATGTATTGAGCTATCCAATCAGCCTATATATATATATATATATATATATATATATATATACATATATATATATATATATATATATATATATATATATATATATATATATATATATATATATATATATATATATTATATATATATATATATATATAATATGATGCATCCTCAGGCCTTCAAATTTGCATAATTTTGAACCTTAAGTGTAATATTTTAACAGTCAAAACTAAGGACCTGAAATTTCATTCAAACTATTTAGTAATGCAATGAAAGGCTTATGGAGAAAGGAATGGAGGAGAACCATTCCAAAAAAACACTGTGGCGGTTGGCAGTCCTGGATTGCACCCCCGACATTCTGGTCATAATTTTCTTACAGACTTGTTGACTCTTCATAGCAAAAGCATGAGCAGAGGGAACTTTGGCCAGTGTCTGCAATCCATGGACGATGTAGAAGAGTAAAAATTAGTGGTGCTAGTAGCAGCTTCTGGATCAGCTGCAGCTGGAGGATTTTTTGTTGGACAGGCCTGTGAAGATCTAGATCTGGCTGAGACATTAGTCCTCTAATCTTGGAGATGTTCTTCAGGTGATAGAAGGCCGACTTTGTAATCGTCTTTTTGTGGCTCGCAAGGTTCAGGTCCGAGTCAATCACTACTCCCAGGTTTCGGGTCTGATCTCTAGTTTTTAGTTGTAATAATTGAAGCTGTGCATTGACTCTAGATCTATAGCTCTAGATCTATAGCTCTAGATCGTTCCTCTTTAGGTCCAAAAAAATGACTTCAGTTTTGTTTTTGTTCAGCTGGAGAAAGTTTTGGCACATCCACACATTTATCTGTTCTAAGCATTTATTCAGTGATTGGATGGGGTCAAAGGTCACCTGGTGACATCGTAATGTAGAGCTGAGTATCATCTGCATAGTTATGGTAGCTAATATTATTTCCTGTAATAACCTGAGGTAGTGGGAGAATATAAATATCGAATAAGAGGGGTCCTACGATTGAACCTTGGGGTACCCCATGTGACCTTTGACCTCTTTGATAAGAAGTTTTCAATTGAAACAAAGAAATCCCTGTTCTTCATGTAAGATTCAAACCAGTCGAGCACCGAACCAGAGAGTCCAACCCAACTCTCCAGTCGATTCAGTAAAATGTCAAAAGCTGCACTCAGGTCCAACAGAACCAGCACTGTGGTTCTCCCACAGTCTGTATTTATATGGATATCATTGTTAATACTTTGACTAGGCCAGTCTCCGTGCTGTGGTGAGCACGAAAGAGTCAAAGCAGTTGGTCATCATGAGGAAACTAATTGTTTGTACACAGTTTTTTCAATAACTTTGCTGATGAATGGGAGGTCAGAGGTCAGCCTGTAATTCTGCAGTAGTGATTTGTCCAGATTGTTCTATTTTAGCAGTGGTTTGATGACTGCTGTTTTCAAAGCCTGGGGGAAAACACCTGATGTAAGCGATGAGTTACTATTTGGATCAGATCAGTAACAATAACAGGCAGGACTTTCTTCAAGAAATGTGTGGGAAGGACATCCAGACAGCAGGAGCTTGAACTTAATTGACTTATAATTTCTTCTAGGATTTTATAATTAAATAGTTGAAAGTGGGTCATTTTTCCTGTATTTGTTTTGTTTAGGTACAGCAATAATTAATCCTCTGATTTTTTGAATTTTCTCTGAAAAGAAGTTGGAAAGCTTGTTCCATCAGCATTAGATTGAATTCAGATGGTAACATCATGGGAGGGTTTGTGAGTCTGTCAACTGTTGCAAAATAAAGCTCCAGCATTGTTTATGACATCTGCAAAAAAAAAGCCTCCCTTCCATGTTTTAGTGTTGCGTGATAGTTACATAGTCTTGATCGCTTCAAACTCGGTTAGTCTGTTAATAAGGCATGTCCCATCTAAAGTTATCTAAACGGTGAGTTTTTGAGTATGCTGAAAGGGGGTTAGCAGGGGTCAAATTTCACCTACTCGCCATGAAAAAAAAAACTATTATATCTGGAAACTGCGCAACAGCTCCCGCGGTGCGGTGCGGGCGGAGGTGCTAAAAACTGCGTGAGAGCTGCTGTGGTGGCTGGCGGTCGGTGGTTGCTAGTACCCCGCGGTGGCCAACAGGCCGGAGCGGCGCTTGGCTGCGAGGGCCGCACGACGCCGCCTGCGGCTTTAATTTGTATTTCTGTATTTTGTACATTTTCTTGTCGTGATCCGGAGGTAATGTCCTGTTCTGCAGAACCCGGGGGCCAGACACATTCTGGATTGAGACAGGTGTAAAGATAATATCTGGTCCCTGACCTCTGACCTCAGAGACACAGAGTGATGGATCCTCTGGAAAGTCAGGGGCAGGTTGCTTAAATGTAGTGAGGTCTGCTACTGAGTACTAAGGAGAGACGTGCCGAGATGAACCTGTTGATTCATTCCATCTGTAAATTTAAGAAACTCTGATCCGAAGACATTTCTTCATTGGTATCTATTGAATCCTGTGAATGATTGGAGGAGCAGAGAGGGAGGGGAAGGAGCAAGGGAAGCAGTCGCTCCGTCTCCAGTCGATTTATCAGCTTGGTTTGGAATATTATCCAATATGCGGCGGGCTCCATCCTAGTCAGACATCCTTGAGCCTGTTCTGACGCGATGATCCTGTTTCTGTCCTTGTTGATAAAACAAAAAGGTTTGCAGTGAGTAGCTTTATCCCATGTTTATTAAGATTGCATCCTCCTCTTCCAAAAAGGAGAAAGCGCTGCCAATAGATCCAGAGGTTATCATGAAGGTCACTGAGCTGGTAGAGCAGCTTTTAATCAGCCATTTGTTGATCTTGAGCAGCCTGGAGTGTTTTTCGTCTCCCTATTGAGGTGATGGAATGGACCACTGAGAAATAACTTCATTTTTAATTTTCCCATAGTGTTCAGAAGAATATTAAAGTCCTTTTTCAGAATCTCAGACTTTTGCTTTGCCAGATCGTTGGCTCCAACATGCACAACTAAAGTCTTAATATCTGGCTGATCAGTGGTTAGAGAGAGCAGTTTGTTGGTTAAATCAGATACAGTGTCACCAGGAAAATACATCACTCTTGTTTTCCTGGGATTGCAAACATCACTGATTCCCTTTACTGCCTCATCTCCAACAACAAGCACTTTTGGGACCTTTTGTTTTCCTGGTGGTCACTTTGTCCTTTGGAGCTTTGGGGGCCATCCCTCACTGTTGGTCTTGCCTCACTGTTGATGTTTGAAGGCAAAGTTTCACTCAGAGGCTCAGACTGGAGTGCAGAAAATCTGTTTTTCAGTGGGATTCCCACAGAGTCAGAATGTTTTGAGGCTCTTGCTGGTTGCTTTGTCCCTGGGAGCGGGGTCAGCGGGTCAGCGGGGTCAGTGGGTCGGTGGAGGCGTTTTGGTTGCAGCTGCTTGTTTGTCTTTCTTTGGTGGAGCAGGTGTTGAAGTTGAAGGTGGGTTTCGGCTCAGACCGGCCACGCTGATTCGTCCGGTGCGGGGTTCTCCCTGATAATCGTCTCATCGGATCCACAGTGCCAGACTCCCGTTTCGGCTTGGCACTCAGAGCGTTCCAGGGTGAGCTGCTCGGTGCAGGGCGCACGACCTCTCTGTTGATTTGAAGAAGGGTTGTCTCATTTCCACAGGAAGCGTTGATCTCAAAGTTCACCTCCAGCAGTTTGATCTTCATTTCTATAAACTGAAGTCGTTGTAAAATACTGCTCATGTCCTTGAGGTCAGGTTTAACTTGGAGATAAAGAAAAGTAAAGTAAAAATAAAAGTAAGAAAATCCCCCAGGCCTTAGGTTTGGAGTAATCCAGTTAAGATGTCAATAATGTAAATATAACTATAAAAACTGTCGCTTTAAAAATAATTCACAGGCAGAGTTATCAGTAAGGATGAGAGAGAACAGGATAAGATTGTGTTTAAGAATTTAGGTTAGGTTGAAAAAAGAAAATCCCCTGGCTCACACTCAAGCAGCAGATGGTGATAATGCGTCTTAATGTTGGATGTCACCTGCCATTAAAACCAAGAAGGAGAAGAAGAAGAGCTGAGGAGGAAAACAGAGAAGGCAGACGGGCCAGAATCATAAGAGTAATGTTTGAAACCATCGTATCAGTTGTTGTTTTCTTTATGCTTTTGTAAACAATTGTACATTCGACACATTTACATAGAGTGTACATAGTGTATCCCAATAATTGTCTTTCACTGTCTTGGAATGTGGCAAGTACAAACTAATCTGAAACATGGAAATCTTTTTCTGATTGAATGTCAAACTGAGAAAAATAGTAGGTGTAAATATCTTTTTTCACCTGAATAGGAATGACCCAAATTTCTTCTTTTTCAGAGTTAATATTAATTTTTTAACTGTCTTTTTTGTGTTTCAGCAGAATCAACACTTTTAAAGAGGTTGACAAAGATCAACCGGATGGACATTGTTCATCTCATTGAAACCAAGATAGACAAATCTGCTGAAGAGGAGACAAATTCACATACCTATGCAGAGATTGAACAAACCCTTATGATGGACCATAGCGAAGGTGTGAAAAGTTGCAATATATATATTTTTTATTTTATACAGACTTGTGATTTGGATGTTATTAAACTGGTTGTGGAACTTTTTAATAGTTAAACAGGATTTTGTGTTTCGTCCGCCCCTGAATGCTCCAACAGGTTTTGGCAACATTCATGAAGACATTGACAGTCCAAGGTCAGACAGATGTAAGGAAGCTGCTGGCAGGAGCCCAGTTTTAGTTCAAGAAGTTCCTGTGGTATCAGCAGAGGAGCTTTCTACTAGCTTATCATCGCTTCATGAAACATCAGGACGAGTTGAGGCAGATCCCATGGCTCCAGGATTCATGAAAAAAGCCCAAAGAGAAAAACTGCAAAGAGAGTTGGAAACAACAAAGTAAGTTGAAATTTTGTGAATTAACAGAAGTGCAAGGCCTGCAGAGGCCACAAAACTGCTAATATTTGAACACACCACATTTACGTAAGTGTAACATTTGTTAATTGAAAATATAAATACTGCTAAATTAGATTTAATGGTTTTCAGCATACATTAACTAAAAGTTCTTGAATTGCTTAACATTTACTTTTGTATTTTAACTAGTGGGTTTACTTTTTAAAATTCAAAGCACAATCTTCATAGTTAGTTAGTTTTATTATGATAGCTGCAATCTGATGCTGTGAGTTTAATCTTTGAGTTTGAGGTCTGGTTCACAAATCCATCTCAGTAAATTACAATTATCACTAATTGCTTTAAGGTTGGCCAATTAAACAAGGCCCCTGTCGCAAATGTATCTAAGTCCATGGTGAAATGCTGTTAGTAGTGCTGATGGGGCCTCTGACTCAAATTCTTCACAAAGCCTTATTCAACCTTGGACCAGCCCTGCATGATGAGTTAAATCCTCTGTACGCCGTGTCTCTGCTGGCTACAGAGGGACAAAGGGAGATTTAATTTATGTGACTTTAGTAGCTCTTTCATTTCATGTCTGTTGAGTTTTTCAAAAGCACCACAGAAACTGTTTTGGTTGCCTGAGCTTTATAGGTTTTTTCAGATTTTCACGCTTAGATAAACTTCAGAAATCAAGCAGGAACAGCGTGAGGGAATCTGTAGAGGCACCAGTGCTGTGATTGTTCCACGCGCCTGTTAAAATGCACCAACTATAAACCCATCTTTTAAGAATAATTCTGCTACGCCTGTGAAATGCTCAGCGCAAGAGACTCTTGCAGTCTGATTTATTTATTTTTAAATTAATTAAAAAATTTAATAATATATATATATATATATATATATATATATATATATATATTTTTTTTTTTTTTTTTTTTTTTTTTTTTTTTTTTTTTTTTCAAAAAACATAAACAAGCAACGCATAGCCTGGTGAGGAGGCAAGTAGCGGTCAGTAAAGCTTTACTGACCGCTTTGCTTATAATACACTGGGAAAACCCTGCAGTCACTGGTCAGTCAATTCATCCTTAGTTTGTGAAACTACATTGAATTTTCCCACTCAAGTCAAATGGTGCATTCACACTATCCCTGTTTAGTCTATTTTAATTGACTCTGGTCAAAGTAGACTAATCACTGGACTTTCTAGAAAGCTCAGTTTGAATGGGAAGTTGTGAATGTGTAATTTAACTTTGATGTGGCGCAACAAACTCTGGTTTCTCTACAAACTTAGGTCTCAGTTTGGTTGAAGTGAATGCTGGTGGTGTTCAAATGTTTTACATGCCAAGTGGAATGATGACTGTAAGGGATGAGTAAATACAACTAAAGCAAACACGTGTGTCTTGCACTAAAACAATGTCTTGTGCTCTTTAGCCAAAAACAAAAGAGAAATCCTACAACTGCTAAAACCTGACACAACTCCCTTGCATTAAGATATTTTGTGAGGAAGTTGGGCTACATGTCGAGTTCAGAGGTTTTTGTCATTTCCCCCAGAGGTTTTTGGTGCAGCGACACCATAAGCAAGTGGATAAACACTTGGGATGGGTTTATAGTTGGTGCATTTTTCAAAGCTTTTTGTTTGTTTCACACAGTGCAGTGTAAAAAAAATGCACCAGCTGAAATATAACATGTCTACTGAACTATTAGGTGTGAAAACACAAAGTTACAAACTCAAGTTCCCATTTCTGAAACTATGACCCAACAGGATCATTACATTTTCCCTTAAGAACAAAAAAATTCAAAAGCTGCATAAAAATAATTACTATTATCTTTTCTGTTTTTGACCAAGGCTGAGCACTGAGGTATTTAAAAGGCACATGACGAGTTTTGACATCCAGAAGAAATTTATGTTTAACTTTAATATGCATGATGCATTCCTACAGATTACTTTGGGGGTTTTCTAATATCCCTGCATAAACAAATATGACATTGTTGTTTTCTTGCAGCTCATCACAAAGTATATATGAAGAAGTGACAGACATGGCACATATTGGGAGTTTCAAGCAAGTAAGTCCTTTATTCACTCTGTACTGCACCTCTCCCTACAACCTCCGTTCCCACGTGATAGACCCTGTATACAAAGGGGGGCCCAAGTTGTGTGCCCAGGTCACCCCACCTCCCAAATCCACTTTTGAACCATGTGAAGATGAAGGAGTTGTTCAAAGCGAAGGGGCAGAGGGGAGCGAGGAGTGGAGTTTGGAGTGTCTACGAACTACTCTTACAGGAGACAGCATAGATTACTGTCTCTCCCCATCAGCTCTGCGAGAGACTTTCAACAACTCTCAAACAGGTGTTTGTGAAGATAGGCCACTGTCCATGACTGATTTTGGTGATAGCTTGCTTGAGTATGCGCAAGCTGAACAGGACTTCAAAAACTTTCTATGGAACTCACAAAACCTGATGAGGCATCTGAAAAAGGATCAGCAACACAACAATCTACGAGTGAACTGCTTGCTTTGCCCACAAGGTTCACAGAATGGACATGTTCTAAGCAAACAGATGAAGTGTCACACCGACTTTATGGGTATGGTGTTGAATCCAGGGATTCAGAGCCTCGGGATCTCTCTGTAATAGTTGAGAGTTCACCCCTTCAAGCAGTCAGAAAAGATGAAGTTCAGGCCACTCATAGTCTCACAAAGGGTAGCATACAATTAGAGAAAGAACATTTGCAATGTGTCGCACAGAAAAATCAACAAACACTACAGTGTGAAAATGAAGATGACTGGGTAATTTCTCTGCATAAAGTTGACAGATCTGATTCTTCAGATTCAGTGCCTGAATACAGATCAATGTCACCACAGTCCACACTGTTAGACGTTAGAAGGTATTCACCTGAATCAGACACAGTTGATGAGTGTCTGGATCCAGATTCTCCGATACCACAGTGTATGTCTTTTGCACATCATGCAGTTCTAAGAAATTATTACGCATCCTCAACAGAATCTGTATTGTCATTTGTTGAGTACGAAGCTATGCCTTTGTTGTCATGTTTTGAGGATAGGCCTCTATCTCCTGAATCTTGTGGCTCTGAGACTAATTGTAGATTGACTTCTCCTGAAACAGACAAACTTCTTCACAAAGAGTATGCACTTGAATTGGCACAAACTGTCATTATTCCAAAAGAATCAAGTCTTGGTAAATTTGAACACAAAGAAAAGAGACAGAAGAAAGGTCAGCCAGACTAGTGCAACAAAAGTCATCCCAAACAGAGTCGCTACAAGCTGATGGTACCGAGACAGACCAGAACATTGCTCCCCCCATGGAAAGAACTAAGCTTCTGTCAACTGATGGCAGTAAAACACAACTATCTCCAGTTTATTCAGAGGCAAAAAATTCAAATGCGAATGTTAAATGCTACGAAAATGTTTGGTGAGACATCCTTACCATCTTTGTCTCAACAACCTACATCTGAGGATCTGAAATGCTTAATATCAACTTCAGACACACTTGAAGAGTTTTCAGCTTTCCGGCCTGCAGTCAAAACAGAACAGCCTCCATTAGGCTACAGTTTTGCTTATGAAGCAGAGCCTTCCAGGATAATCTCTCAAATCAATGATCCACAGTATTCAAGAGAAACACTTAGAAGCAAAGAAGGAAACCATCAATTTTATGGCACATTGTCTGACTGTAATCAGGAAAATTTAGGGGAAGCTATTGATGACCAAACCAATTATTTGTCAGTAGAAATGTATAAAAGGTCAATATCACCTGACTCTGAAGTACAATCCCAGCTATTGTCACCTGAATCGCTAATGCTGCTAGAAATGGTAAGGCCAGACTCTTCCCTGTCGGGCAGATCTGCAGGTAGTCACCAAGCCTTAACACTAGATTCCCCTATTCCTCAGTTCCAGACCTCATTCACAGATGCTTCAGAAACTCATTTAACACTATGGGAGAAAAATCCTTTTCACCTGTTTCAATATGTTCAGATGCAGAATTCAGCTTTGTGTCAATGGAATCATTATGTGGTGAAACTTGGCCGTCATCTGTAGATTCTGTTGACAGAAACTATCCTCTCTCAACAGAATCCCCCATTCCTGAATTTAGCCTGTTTTTAACAGACCTCCATCCTCAAACCACCCTGCAGGGATCTGTGTTTACTGTTTCAAGTTCCTCAGACATGCATTATGGGCTGCTTCTCTGGAATCATTATTTGGTGAGAGCCGACCTCCCTCCATATGTTCCTTTGAGGAAGATAAGTCATGTTCAGCTGAGTCACCAATACCAAAGTTTGAACGAGTTGTGCAAGACTATAATCTGTCTGCACAAGGTAGATATTCTTCACCTGTTTCTGTTACCTCAGATATAGAGTACGGCTGTATCTCTTTAGACTTGCTATTCAGTGCCAGTAGAGCTTCTTCAGTAGATTCTGTTAATGAAACTACCTTTTGTTACCAGAATCCCCTATCCCCAGAGTTTAGCCAGGTTTTACTGGACCCCCATGTCTCAACCATTCTGGATGAATGCCTGTCTCCTGTTTCAGTGGCTTCAGACATGCAGTCTCGATCTGTCTCTTTGGAATCATTATTTGGTGAGAGCCGACCTCCATCTGTCGATTCCTTGGATGAAAGCGGGCCACTTTCACATGAGTCACCCATTACAGAGTTGGGAGAAATTCTGGTAGAATCTGATCTCGCTTCACTGGAAGGGCATTTATCGCCTGTTTCTGCTATGTCAGATATTGAATTTGTGTCTATAACATCAGCATTTAATGAGCGCAGACAGTCATCTGTAGATTCTGCTAAGAAAAGCTGTCCTGTTTCACTAGACTCATGCATTCCAGAGTTTGAACACACTTTAGTAAAAGTTAATAAAAACACACAACAGAAATCCTTGTCACCTAGTTCAGTTCTTTCAGATCTAGATTGTGTGATGTCAGATATTGAATGTGCACAATCAGATGTAAACTTATCTATTTCAGAACAGAGACCTGACTCATCAGAATCACAAGCATCTGAGACCATGGTGATAGTACAGACCAATAATTCGGCTTATTTAAAGGAAATCAGGGTACCAGTCTACAGATTGGTTTTTGATGCAGAACTTTGGAAGCTTATCTCTAAAGTACGAGATCCTCAGTACAGTGGGGAGACATTCTTTAGTAAAATAGGAGTTTTTGAATATGTTGGCACCAGAATTGAGTATTTTCCAGAATCCCCTGTAGTAAAAACAAACGAGTTGGAGAATAATTTAAGGTCAGGCAATGCAGAATTAGAATCCGGATCTTTGTCTCTTTTGGAAATGACTACAAATGTTAAAACATCAAATTCCAACTTGTGTCTAGATTCTCATGGTCCCAGATTTTCCTTTCAACACCTCAGCATTTCTCAGTCTCTGCCAAACTCACCAGTATCAACCGTATCAGTTGAAGATTCAGAACATTGCATACCCACAGTTTTCAGTGAAAGCACACATCAATCAATGACTTCAGCAATATCTGTTGATGACAGGAGTGCAATATCACATGATTCACCCTTCCCAGATTTCAGGCCTGTAGTATCGGAGTCAGTTACAGCTTATTCAATCGTACCAGAAGGTGGATGTCAGACCCTGTTACGTGATTCAACTGTAAGACAGATCAAAGCAAAAGAAACTGAACGCTTTGCCTCATTTGTTGGATTCAGGTCAGAATCTCCACCAGTTCTTTCACACTTGGAGAGTGCTCATCTAATAAGTACATTGAGGCAAACTAAAGGCATACCAGACGCATTTGAGTCAGAAGCCAAGCTTGAAAGGAGACCTTTGTCATCTGATTCTGAGTCAGAGTGTAGGTCTATATCACCTGGGTCTCTGACTTTCATTTTCAAACCATCCCCTGAATCTGTTGGTTCTCCAAATGAATTCAGAGCGCTGTCCCCAGATTCTCCAATTCCAGAGTTTAAGGAAGCACTACAGAAATCCATAAACACATACTGTGAGCTTAGATCTTCTGTCCCAGAGTCAGTGTCATCAGAATCGGAGGTGGAAATGAATTGGGGGGAGACATGGTTTGAGGAACAGTGTCTATCTCCTGACTCTGCCACCTTTGGTAGTGAAACAAATCTTCCAGCTGATTCTCCAGTACCTGACTTTAGACAACTTTTCTCAGTTGCTCATGTTGATTACAGTTGTTACAGGGCATCATCACCTGAATCCAGTCGTTCAGATTTGGATTTTGCTCCCTTCATTTCTCAACTGTTTGAAGATGAAGTTAAAGAAAGACCAAATACCACAGAGTCAAATCTATATTTGCATGAATTCCAACATTTATCCCCAGACTCACCAATACCTCAATACACTCACAGGGAGGAAAACACATTAATATGTGGTTCTGCATCTCCTGTGTATTCAGAGGAGGAGTTAGAGATAGAGTTTTGTGAGTCCTGGTTTATTGAGGACAGAAGAGCATCTTCTGGTTCATCATCTGAATCTGAATTCAGACCAGACTCCCCCATACCTGATTTTACTCAGGCGCTACAAGAGTCCTTTAATTCACACTCTGCTTTAAGATTCTCATCCCTAACCTCACTATCTTCAGAGGAAGAAACCAATTTAGAATTGGACATATCTGTGCCTTGTCTTTTTGAAGACCGAGCAGTAACTCCTGGTTCTTCAATATCTCAAGATGAATTGAGACCAGACTTGCCCATTCCTGAATTTACACTTAATCGTGCTGAAATATGTCACATGAATGTAATTGTTTCATCTTCTGAGTCATTGGCTTCAGACAAAAAATTGGAGATTGATTTGTGTACGACTTGGCTTTTTGAAGACAGAGCGACATCTCCTGGTTCAACAACATCCAAAGAAGAGTTTGATGCTCCTTCATCAGATTCTCCCATTCTCACACTTACTCGAATACCAGAAAAATCCACAACTTTGCTCTTTGTTTCAAGGTCTACTTCATCAGAATCAGTGTATTCAGATTGGGAAATGGAATTATCTTCTTCTCTGATGACAGATGATTTCCCTCTGTCACCTCTATCCCTAACACCTCAAAGTCAATATGGATTGCTTTCTCCAGATTCACCTGTTCCTGACTTTAACCTGGACTTTTCTGATAGTCATCATAAGATATGTTACAACAGGTCATCATCAATTGAATCAGAGGCTTCAGAAATTGAATATGCCCCTTTAATTTCACAGACTATTGATTTTGAGGGCAGTGTAAAATTCTGCCCATCAGGACAGTCAGATGATGAGCTTGGACGTTTGTCTCCCATCTCTCCTTTACCCCTGCACTCCCTAGCCTTATCTTCTGATGTAAGGGTCAGATACAGGTCCACTTCTCCCGAGTTTGAGTTCTTAGAGGAAGATGTGGACACTGATTTGTGTATGGCTTGGCTCTTTGGAGTCCGATCAGAATCTCCTTGTTCAAGAATATCCAAAGAAGAGTTGAGACCACTTTCACCAGATTCACCTATTCCCATATTTAGGCAACAGGACTCCATAATACCTAACTGGGAACTAAGGTCCACATCACCTGAATCAGTGTTTTCAGATTTAGAAATGTCTTCAGAGTTCCCAAGCGTAACTGAAAGTAGACCTTCTTCCCCAGAATCTTTAACATCAATCTGGCTTTCACCTGATTCTCCTCTACCTGACCTTGTGCAGCCAGTGTTTGAACTACCTAAGGCAATTTTCAGAAGTAGGTCGATATCGCCTGAGTCAACTTGTTCAGAGGTTGAATACATTGTTTTAAGCCTGGGGTCATTATTGTATGACAACAGACAATCTTCTCCAAGTTCAGGAGCATCTGGAGATGAAAACCAGGCACGGTCTCCCGACTTGTTAAGATCTGATTACAAAGAAGCAGTGCGAGAACATGTGATAGTAAATGTTGGCTATAGATCACCGTCCCCTGAGTCTATTGAGTCAGATGTTGAGTATGCTTTAGGCGAGCTTTTGATAGCATTGGGATTTGGTGTTGAACATAGGAAAGATTCTTTTCTGTCAATAGAGTCACAGATTCAGGACAGGTCATTTTCAACTGAGTCCATACCAGAATTCAAATCTGTGTCACCTGATGAATTGATGTCACTTAGAAGCATTACAAGTGAATCCCTAGAGTCAGTTGAGGAAAACACAAGATTATCACCAGACTCACCGCTTCCTTCTTTTACTCAGAATGTACTTGAGACTGTAATACAGGAAACATACACTAGGGCTTCATCCCCTGAGTCTCTGCTATCAGATACTGAATATTACTTGGTAAATTTTTCATTTGACAAAGGACTTGAAGACAAAAGAACAATGTCACCACAGTCAGAAAGATCAGATATTGAATATCCTCCTGAATCTCCAGTGCCTGATTTTACTCAGACATTTGCAGAATCTGCTGTGATTGTAACAAGCTATCCAGCAATAGAATTTTCATATTCTGATGAAATGTCACAACTACCAACTCCATTTTATGCAGAAACAAGATCGTATACACCAGAATCATTGGAGAAAGAGGAGCATTTAGCACCCAAATCATCACTGGTTGAAACCAGTGATCGCATTGTTTCAGAAACATCAGTTGAGCCTCTCCCACCTGCCACTGTACCTCAGTACAGTCTTGTTTATGACGCTGAGCTATGGAAGCTGATTTCTCAGGTACGAGATCCTCAGTATGCAGGAGAAACCTTTATTAGTAAAACAGCTTTCGTGCAGTTTATTTGTAACAAAGATATATATGAAAGGAATGTTACAAATAATCAAAAGGATAATAGAATAAAAACCAGAAATGACAAAGATCAATCATCTTTATTAACACCTTCAGAAGTTACTCATCAGTTCTCTTTTACAGAAACAAAAAGAGCAGTGACCAACACACATCTGACAGAAACACCACTTCCAATGATTGAACAGATTTTGTTATCAGAAACTGTTATTTACAAGCAGCCAAAGCTTGAATCATCAGAGACACAACTGTGGTATAATCCTTCACTATCTAACTCAGTATCTGACGAAGAGAGCGATCATCTCTACAGATCTCCAGAATGTCTCGGTCCAAATTTACCAGAGGTGGAAGACGCTAGAGTATCACCCGAATCTGTAAAATCTGTCAGTGAATTTGGGCCCCTCACACCAGATGCCACCTCACCAGAACTGAGGTTGGGATTGTCAGAATGTGTCAAGTATGTCAGAACAACACCACCCCCTGAATCTAAAGCTTCAGATCTTGATTTATTGCAACTGAAATCAGACCTTTTAGAATTCAGGCCTTCATCTCCAGAATATGCTCTGTCTGAGAATCAGGATGAGAGTCAGAGGCCTTTGTCATCTCAGTCACTGCCTGAGTGCAGTCCTGTGTCTTTCCAATTAGCCTTGTCTGACCAAACACCATCATGTCCAGAAATCATTTCAGAATGGGTCCAGAATAGGTCACTTTCTCCAGACTCCCCCATCCCTCAGTTTGCTCCAGTACCGCAGGTCTACCCCATGAAACATCTCATCTTAGGCTCATCCTCAGATTCTGAATCCAGTGATTCTGCTGATATGTCAGATGGAAACACTAGGCGACCCTCCTCACCTGAATCCATTTCATCCAGTTGGTTATTGCCTGATTCACCAGTTCCTGAATTTATGAGAATTTTATCTTCTTATTTTATGGATCCTACTTCCTATGATAGATACCCCTCCCCTGTGTCTTTGTCATCAGACTCTGAGTTTGTAGCCTTACCAGTTGAATGTTGGACTGATAACCCCAGACCTCTGAGCCCTGCAAGCCTTGAATCTGAGAAGAAATTTTGTTTTGATGATGAGCTCAGTTCAGAGGTTTCACCCCACACATGGGGTGAAACATCTTCCGTGCAACCAGAACAGACAAAGTTAGCGACTGTGTCATCATCACCTATTAAATCTGCTAAAGAATATTGCCCTCATCTGCAACAAATGACAGAATCCACATCAAAATTCTGGATATGCAAAGAAGAAACTTTCCACAGATCAAAAGCAGATGAAGATGCCGGAGAATACTTGTCTCCAAAGCCATCAACAGCTAAAGATGTGAAACAAAAGGACACAAAGACCCAACAAAAAAGTGGTGAAGAACTACAGGGCAAACCAACCCATCATGGGGTAAGACATAAAGCATGAGAATGCATCAATAACCTTTTGATAACTCAAAAACAACACACTGCTTTTAACTCAGGACATGCCAGGCTAACACTATAGGAGCAGAGGCCTTTGATACTTTGAAGGAGTTTTGGATCTCTTTTGAGTTGTTGATAATATTACTAACCACTTTCTATTTTCCTCTGGTTCATTTTTGTATGATGATGAAATACTGGAACATTTTCTTACACCAGGATAACCAAGTCCAGGTCTGGAGAACTAATACTCTTTAACTTAAATAAATCCCCTCTCCATCACACCTGAAGCAAATGGCTGAATTGCGATTTTGTTCAACAATGAGTCTTTCCTTTGCTGCAAATGTGTTAGAGACGGGATGCAAGTTACAAATCCTCAAGGACCGAACTTTGGCACCTCGGCTTAGATGTACAAAATGTTGGTCTAACTGACTGCTGGGTGATGAAAACAAAGTTTAATTTAAATTGTGCAGTGGCACTAATGAGTTAAAATGCTCATGTCTTTCAGAGGTTCACATAACCTCTGTGCAGATGTAATAAACTTACATAAATAATTTCATTCCAGGTTCCCCCAGACTTTCGAACATTTGATACCCAGAGCAACCAGTTTCCTGACACAGCAGCAACAGATTGTGGCAGTAAAACTGCAGTGATATTCTTTGATGATAAGCCAATCACATCAGATCCCATACTCCTACCTGACCAGACTTCATACAAAACACACCGAACTGTTCCTCCTGTACTGTCTGTGCATGAGAAAGCTTCGAGTTTAAAGTCCCATGTGTCCAGAGAGAATCCAGACACATGGGACTTTATGCAAGGTCAGTCCTGTGAACCTTTTTCAGCCAAGTCAGATGAGTTTTTGGTACCAATATTTTCGAGTCAACAAGCCCTGGGAGTTTCTGAGTGTGGCCAAGCATTCTCCAATGATTTGAGTCCAGTAACGCCAGTGTTTAGTGGTCTCAGCTCAGCACAATTTGCCTCTGAAGATACCATCAGTGAAGAGCCAGAAGTCACTGAAGACTTTACATTTTCTCTAGGCTTTAGGAGAGTCCTCTCTGAATTCGAGAACATAGCATTGGAATTTGAATCAAACACTACAACCAGCCAACAGAAGAAATCAAGTAAGGGTACAGAGTCTCCACGTCCATCAGATTCAGAGCCAGAATTCTTTGACTGCCAACAAGACTTTTTTGAACCGGAGGATGTGATGCCAGAAGATGAGATAACTTATTTTTCTGAGCACTCTTCAATAAGCTCAAGAAGTAGTTCAGATATGGGCCTACTGAGAGTCTGCCCTGAGCACACCGCTCAACGTTTCCTTCAAGTAGAACCTAAAAGGCAACATTCTTCTGGCAGTGAAAGTCTTGGTGAATTTGCTTATGATTCACATGTTTCACGGGAGTGTGCTGCAGAGGGCGGCTTTCCCATTTGTGAGCAGCTGCTATCTAGAGATCAAGCTGGGTATTACGATGATGATGACTTCCTGGGAATGGTAAGAGGATGAGCATGAGCACAATGCTACACTGGTTTCTGACTTACGTAGTTTTAGACAGATTGCCGTTGCACACAAGATGTAGAAAAGAAAACCTAGACTGAATTTGTGCATCAATTTAAAAGGCAAAGATGTTTCTGCTGTGAAGAAGTATTTGCAGTTGTTCACTTTGATGCACAGTTGAGATTAATAAGCTGCTGTGGAGAGTTCTACTACATATTCCACTGTTTGCACCAATTGGTGTGTGCATGTTGTTTCCCCCCTTAGTGTCAAAAATTAAAACACTGAACATTTCCATATTTCTTCCTCCCATTTGACATTTCCATTCATCCTCCTGAGCAGTAGATAAGCTGACTCTATTGCTGCATGTTTGTTTTAGTTGAACATTGTTGCTTTATTGTGCCTTCTCTTCATCTCGCATTACTTTTATGTACAACATTTTGAATTTATTTCCCTTGATCCATACATGTACATTTAGCAATGACAGAAGATGAGTGTGAGGTTAAGAGAAAGGCCTAAGCATGAGTTTCCTGCAGCAGTTTGTTGTAGTGTCACTGCAGAAAACGTGACATTCACCCATACTGGTTGTGTGCTGTCTCTAGGAGATAGCAGAGGAGCTAGGAGCACTGTCCTCTGATAGCTCAGAGGAGGAGGTGCTGACCACCAGAGTGGTCCGACGCAGAATAATCATTCAGGTAACATAAAAGATGATGCAACAGCACAAAAAGGTGGAGTGGGTGGTCAGATCTCACAGGCTCCCAAAGGTTTTACATAGTGAATCTGAATTTTAAAGATAAAACTTTTATTGTTGAATCTTGAAAGTATAACATCCCTCTTAAAAAGCTTCTGTATTATAAAATATGAAAATGTTTTCAGTGAGGGTAAGCTCACTAGTTTTTGTAACCATACTCATAACTTCTCAGTTTAAAGAATGACTAAAGATGTAATTAAAATGTAACAACTGATGAGAGCTGATTACCAATAAAACCAAGGATATGTTTTATTATCTATAAACCAACATCAAATAATGAAAGCAGATTTTTTTTAAAATTCACTGCCAAGAAAAAAAAAATGACCACATGAATTATAATTTAAAGAAAGATTAATGACCAGATAATTAACCATCAAACTTGAGATCCAATTGCTGTTTTAACTTTCATAGAAAATACACGAGTCTGACTTCCTTACCTGATCCCAGGCAGGACAAGATCATCTTAGATAGATTACCACCAATGGTATTCTGCAACTGATGTGTTTCTGCAGGCAGATATCCTGCCAGACATTCCACCACAGACTGTGACTGAAGAGAAGTACACAGATGAGCACGGCAACATGGTGGTGAAGAAGGTAAGAAATACAAGACAACAGAGGATCCAAACAGTAGGATGCCAACCCTCTCACCGTAATTCTTCATTTGCATTCATCATTACCAGATCACGCGGAAGGTGATTCGTAAATGCATGTCTCCGGATGGGTCAGAAACACAGGAAGTGAGCATTGAGGGCTCCCACCAGGAAATGGTGAAGATAGAGGAAGGAGACGCTGTGTCCAGAGTGGCAAAGAGAACTGTCCTTCACAGCAGGGGAGACCAGAAAGAGGTGGGTCCCATTTGCCAGGCCAATGTCTACAGTTAGAATCAGACCCTTACATAAACCAAATAAAAACATTTGGGGTTTTTTCTGAAATTAAATCAGATTAAACTTTATGTTTTGGGTTTGTTTGAATTAACAATTGTTTTTAAATTGCTCAATACAGATCCACCCACAAATGATCTAGCCACCTTATTCCTGGGAGGGTTACTATGGAAACAATCATGGGTCTTACTTCCGGTGCAGTAGCAGTATTTCATTGTAATGTGTAGGAGTTTTTGATCATCTATACTCATGATATATGAATATAGACTCGTTTGTAATATAATATTTAGTGAAATTTGTACAGAGGATCGTAATAATGAGTTTAATCACATAGAGCAACAGGAGCATGATTGCTAAGTTTTATTACTGAATGACCGTGAGTTAGCAGCGCTGCTAGCAGCTCGTTTCTCTGAAGAGCTGACAGAATAAAGAAGAGAAAAGCAGAGAAGCTGGTCAGAGTTCTGAGCTGCCGTTCTGCGCCGACAATGTAAAACACCAGAACTGCATCATATTAGCTTGGTGTGATGTGAATTTGATTTTGAGTCAGTGAAGTAGCCAGCTAAGCTTCCCATTTGTGAGCCATTTCTTCAAGCCGCCATCCCTCCCTGCAATAGCTGAAGGTAGTGGTAAAACCTACCTAAGCTGTGATACAGCATAAAACCTCTGTGGAAAACTGGTTAGCGAGTTGCTGAAATGTAAACAAATGGTGATTACAGTTAGCGGCGGAAGTTGCACCCATAAATCACACAAAGCCTCATGGGGGCTGAGAATGAAGGGGTTAAGATTGGGTAGTGCCAAAACATGGACTGTGTATTAAGCCACTTTATTAACCACTTTGGCTGTGGGCTTTGAGTCACTGGGAGAGCCATTTAGACCCTTAACTTTCAATATTTTTCAATATTTTTACATACCTGTCTTCCCAACATGATGGCATCTATTTCATGAAGCACACCAGTTTTTGAGGAATCGGGGTGGATGGTCCATGTTCAAACAAAGACAATAAGAGATGAGAATCTGTAGCAAGACTTCAAAATTTCTTTTCACAGAAAGAGAAATGGTCTCCATCCAATCTGACTGACTTTAAACTGAAGGATGTCTGTGAGGCCAAATTGGCCCACAGCCCGTCTTCAACACAAGGGGGAGCAAACAACTCGAAAAACCCAAACAGCGGAGCAGTCAGGTGCAAGGTATTTTAATCCAAAGAGTCACAAGTAGTGGCACAATAAAAACTTTTTTTTTATAAAATCCAGTGTTCCATAAAAAGTCACCCGTTGAAGGCCACAGGTTGGGCTCCGCTTATTTTCTTGTTCGTGGCGGTGATCTATGTGTAGCGCGCACTACAGCCGGCCGCACAGCGCTCCACCACCACTCCACTCCTCGGCGTGCCACGCCCCCTTACGTTTCGGTCCAACTAAAAGGAAAGAACAGGAAAGCGCTAGCATCCCCGCACCAGAACTCCGTCGGAAGACGTGCTTTTTGCCAGCTCTCTGCAGGATCAGTTCGACCAGAAAGGAACTTTACTTACAGGCCTCTGTTCTGGGCCGTCTGTCCAACTCTCGATCGCTTGTGCCGGATGAGCGGCTCCGTCTGCTCCCCTCAGCGTGTCAGTTCCCGTGGCTGCAGAACCAGTTCTCTCCTCTTCTTCCCAGCCAGGCTCCTTTTATTTTGGCTCTAATCAGCCTCTGCTGACACCTGTCCAGGTGGCCACCTCAGTCCAGGGTGTTTGGATTGTCAAAAGGGGACAAGGAAAAAGAAAAGCAACAACCCAAAAACAATATACATGCAAAGCAAACAAAAAAACAATCAACCATAAAATAAAACAATCATTTTCCGCTGTTCAAAATGTCCAATAATGTCAGTCTGTAGATGTTAAAAAGTTGGTAGAAACAAATCCTAAAAGAGCTGCAGTCAAGGTGTTTCTACAAAGTGTTGACTCAGAGGGCCTCAAAAAGAAAATCACACAATATTTCTTAGATTTTTACATAGGAAATGTACTGACATTATTTTCATCAAATAGTCATAATGGTGGCCATAATGGTGCTGCATTAGTTTATCATTTAAAATTCAATGAAATAATGAAGATATAGCACCAATTCACAACAAATATAATCTTAATGTACAGAAGGCATTAAAGTTTGTGGGTGTGGCTTGACAAAATGCAAAAATCTTTTTGGGGTATGAACAGGATTGCACTGTTTTAAGGTTAAGTTTTATATGTGTCCTACAGAAATTCGATCTCCAACTGTTTCTTGGTGTGTTTTTGTTCTGTTTCCAGCTGACCTTTTCTGAACCCCTGGCTCTGGGTGCCACCACAGCATCAGAGTTTGAGGTGGAACCTGTTCAGGGTCGAAAAGTCAGCAAAGTTGTCAAAACGACCGTGGTGAGGGGTGAGAGGATGGAGAAGCAGAGAGGAGACCCCTTGTTGTCTGCTGACCTCCCCTCAGCCCAGGAGGACTTTGAGAAGGTCAGCATGTCCAAATAGAAAAGCTGAGATTCTTGTTTTCTTATCTGTGGAAGGTGTGATGTTTTTCAGTTACCTTTTTGCTGAGCAGAAGTTTCTCTACCTGATGTGTCTCCTCTCCCTCACTCTTCCCCTCCAGGCTTTGAGTTATGCTGGAGGTTTTGGCAAAGTGCTGCTGCCTCATGTGGTAGAGAAGGAGATGGTACAGGAGGACGGTTCTGTGGTTAAAAGGTTGGGCTATGTGCAATAATGTGAAGACAAGCTCTTAGTCACAGGCATGGTGTGACTTCCCCTTCTTATCTTCAGTGCTTAAACTTTGCTTAAAAAATGCAAAGAGTAAAGTTTTGACTCTTGAACTTACCATTTGTTCCAATTTTGAACTGATTGCTGTTGGGGCAAGATACAAATTCTATGAAAAACTAAACTCACCTAGAGGCACATTTAAAGGTTTTGCTGTAGATCTCCTGTTCTGTCAGAGCTTTTACCGAGGAGGTGCATTACTGCATACTGGAGTATTACATGTCATGGAATGTGCCCGATTTTGAAGGGAGCGGAACATCATAATATTGAAATATTATGATGGCATGTGTGGTGAGTGTTTATATTTGGTCTACTGGTTCAAGACTGGCAAATAATTCTGCTCCTCAAAGAAGCAAAGCAGGGTTTGTTCCAAGCTTGGTTTGGTCTGAGTGGAGAACTTTCCAAATGAGCACTTAGTCATCAGAGCTTTAAGATTCTTAGAAGCCATGGTGAACAAGGTACATTTAGGAGTGGATGACATTTTCTTTGAGATCCAGAAGACACTTGATGTGGTGGTTGACACGTGTCTTCAGTTTTATAAGCAGGACTGGTATGGGAGAGAAGATTTATGGTCACAATTTGTAATAATCCCAAAGGAAAATAAATGTAATTCAAACTGTTAAAGTTTCATCAAGAAGTTGTTATTGATAACTATTGTGTTAAGGTGTACCCAAAAAATCTTCAGAGGTTCCAGCACAAAACCAGCTTCTTTATCTGCTTGTTGGGCTTTTAAGTCTCTTATGCTGCTACACTAACCCAACAGATGATGGCAGAAGAGAGTCCACTCTCCATAGGAGACACTTTTTCTGCAGTCATTGAAGAATCTACGCTTCCTCGAGAAGTTCAATGTGCTCTGTGACTTTCTGTAGGCGCTGCCCTGAGCGCATCCTCAATGCAATGTTGTCCATCAAAGCTAACTCAACAATTCTGTTCATGGTGTTCATGGAGGGAATCTTAAGATGCACGTTATGGAGAGGAATTTGAGAAGTTTGACTCATGAACCTTCTCCAGTCATTCATGGCTGTGTCATCAATACATAATCTTTGTGGTTGAAGTTGGGTTCATCGGAGCACGTCATTGGAGAATTCACTCAATCAATCCATCAGACTGATCCCAAAGGGAAATGAACCAGAAAAAATTCTGCAGCCAGAATCGTCTTCATTTCAGCATGAAAATCAGCAATAACACTCTGCTTCGATGGGACTTTAGTTCCATTAAAAATAATATAGTAATGATTTAGAATATATAACCAATCACCCAGTTAAATCCTCCTATATCAAAACTTATGACATTTTATGACATTAAGTCCTTGTCAGCAGTAATGTCTGTATGCCAGCCTACCTTTAGTCTCCATGGTAACCAATGAGAGGTTTTTTAATCAGATGTCTGATCCCAGATCAGTACTGAGCATACTTCCACTAATCGGTTAATAGCGTAGTTAACTTTTCATTTACCATTTTTTCCAACTTTGAGAAATGTTTAGTGTACTTAGTTTTTACTAAGTTATTCTTTCTGGTTGTTTTTTTAAGCACTAATTCACTTGGCTCTTTTGGAAATGATCAGTTGATAAAGTTTGACATCTGTGTTGAAGTTTTAGTTATCGACTTGAAAAGAATTCAAGCAGTTAAATATTTACTATGGTTTGCAAAAGTATTTGTACCCCTTGAAAAATGTTTTAATTTTTTTGTCAAGCCAAGGCCATTTCAAAAGAAGTTTTTATACCTTATTTTGAAAGGTGTAAAAACTTTCAGTTTACCCAACAGTTTAGCTTCCTCTCCTACTTTTCTTCAACGACTTTATTTAACGCAAAATAAAGAACAAAATAAAGCACAGACAAGATATAAAAATAAATTGAATGTCTGCTGTTACAGAACATGTAAATTATAATATAAAAATTACAATCAGGGAAATAAGTATTTGAACACCCTGCAACTTTGCATCTTAGGTGTATGTCCTCTGTGAGAGACATAATCTAAAAAAAATCCAGAAATCGCAATTTATGATTTTTAAAATAATTTATTTGTGTTACTGCTGCAAATACGTATTTGAACACCTGTGAAAAGCAATATTAATATTTGGTACAGTAACCTTTGTTTGCAATTACAGAGGTAAATTTGACAATTTAAACAGTTTCACCAAGTTTACACACATTGCAGCAGAGATTTTGGCCCATTCCTCCACACAGATCTTCTCTAGATCAGGCTCTGGCCACTCCAGAACGTTGATATGGTTCTTATAGATAGAGCCACTCTTTGGTTATCCTGGCTGTGTTCTTTGCGTCATTGCCATGATGGAAGATGCAGCCACGATCCATCTTCATTGCTCTAACTGAGGGAAGGAGGTTGTTCTCCCCCCAGGTTGAGACACGGCCCCAGTCCCATGTGCAGAAAATCACCCCAAAGTAGGAATGGTGTTTTTGGGATGGCACTCATCATTCTTTGCCTCCGAATACAGCGAGTGGGATTAACACCAAAAAGTTCTATTTTGGTCTCACCTGACCACATCAGTTTCTCCCAGGTCTCCTCTGGATCATCCAAATGGTCATAATTCAGAAGATCATGAGGCAGAAAGACAAAAAGCCTGAAGATTATAACTTCAGGGTTATCTTTCAAGTGTTTCTGAGATTTATTGCAGGGGCAGTTCAATTTGAAGTTAGCGTTTTAGAAATTAAGTAGTGTTGGTTGGTGGAGCTGATGTTTAGGATTAGCGGCAGCAGTCAATGTTAATACTGGAAAGATTGATGGCAAGACTGGTTGACACCATCATGCCTCTGGTCTAAGGACACTGAGATCTTCAGGTCTTAATGGAGCTTTATACCACTTTGTATTTTAGGATTAACACAACTAACGTTTTAGTTTGTGGTGTCTCCACTGATCACATGATGTATGGCAGCAGATTAATCAAGTGAACCTTTTAGTTTTGTTGGAAATCAGAATTCTGTACCAACCTCAAATGGTAGAATCAAGATTGTTGGGAATCTGAACTCACACCTATGTTTTGGTTTATGTAATTATTAATAATTGTAACCAATGACTTCTTGTCAATTAAATTAATAAAATGAAATATCCTTTCATTTTTAACTTATGAACTCTCACAAAGGAATGAATTCAGATCAGCAGAAGAAACTCTTCACACAACAAGCAATAATCACTGATGCATTGATTTTTCAAGAGTCTGAGGATTTATTAATACAATAATCAGGGAAATAACATGCCATTCCCTGTTGCTCTTTTTCCCTCCAGGTCTGTCAGTAATTATATGTGTTTTCAGGGCCTGACCTGATCTGACTTCAGTCTCACTCCTTTTCACGTTTGCTTGCTCCTGCAGAAGCCAGATGTATAAGTCATGCACCCAGAAGAGGACCGTGGTGAGGGATGCCCAGGGGAAGCATGTACACCTGGAACGTCTGGAAGACACCCCAGACGCTCTGCAACCCGATGCCCTGCAGCAGCACTTGCGCCACCTGCTCCAGAGGTACTGTGAGGATGACCAGGAGGAGGAAGAAGACAAGGAAGAGGAAGAGGAGGAGAAGAGCCACGACTGAGCAGCTACTTCCACTGAACCCTTACTACATCTTCCACTGAAACGTTTGGTGAAGTTCTTTCTCAGAGCCAGATGTTCTCTTCTCCAGTAATTGGTTTGTAGATTTCAGAACAGGATTTATGCTTTAACATTTTTTTTTCCCCATTTGCTCTGATTTTGACCAAAGAAAGCACCTCTCAGTTTTAGATCTTTTATTTCTTAGTGTTCAGCTGTTCCGATGTGTTGGAGGTACAACTCACCAAAATGTGCATTGTTGTTAAATGGAGCTTCTTGCACCTCATTCATGGGCCTCTTCTTCAAGAACTCTTGTAAAGATTTATACATACAGAAGATGAAAGGAATCTAGATGTGACTGGACAGAAAATCAACAAATTGTTAAAGCATTTAATACAGCATGAAAACCTGCTGTACATTTACTGATATAGCTGGAGAAATTACTCATAAAATTACTGTTCCATGGAGATAATAAAATGGTGATGTGTGTGTTTCAGAGCCAAACCTATATGATCATAGCTTTTATCTTCATCATGCATCAAACCTTATTTCAATTTAAGTCCAGTGTGTCAAATTGTAGCGTTGTAGCGCCTCCTCTGGCATGTGACTGTAAATAGTGTGTTTATTGAAAAAGAAAGTGGTGATGAGGAATGTGTCGATGCACCTGGAGCACTTCTCCCCAACCCTTGGTTCTACTTTCTGTTAATGAGAACTTAAGTGCTGAGAACTCTTACATGTTCTGCAAACTGGAATTCCAAACTTTTAATAGCAAAAAGTCTCAGTCAGATTTGCTGGTTAATACATTAACTCATATTTCTCTGAAGACAAGTTTATGAAGAAACTGCTGAATGGAATTGGCTTTGAAGGGTGTAATCAGTAGTCATTACTACATGTGCAGCAGAGCGATGTTTCGTTAGCCTGGCCATCGTTCCACTTGATCCTTATTTCCCTTCAGTCTCATTGAGCTCCATTTCTCCCATAGATTTTCTACCAGACCAATCAGCGAACAGCAGAAATAGTGAACGATGATGTTGGTTTTTCTGCACTGCTTTAGAATTGTAGTCTATCAGTAGTTTTAGCAATGGCAGCGGAGGAAGAGAAGGAAGCTTTCAAATATCAAAGTAACATTAACAGCTGCATCATTTAGATTGGCTCTTCTCTGATCACAGTGGAGGATCGTTGTTCACAACATGAGTTCTGGTCAGCTTTTAGCATAGAACTGGATTTTTTCCTCTTCAGCTTCTTCGCGAAGGAATTCTTAGACATAAGATAAGAGATTTATCACTACAACAGTGGGCAGTGGAATTCTTTGAAACTAGCTTTGCTGTTTTTGTCTTCTGATCAACATCTGCTTTTTTATCTGCTGTGTTTGGCGCCACCCTCTGGCTGGGAGCATTACAGGTACCCTGCGACAAAATGCATGTCACACATCAGCATTGTGTGATGTGTGACATGCACAAAGCAGAGCAGACTTTGAATCAGGTTCTCTGAAGCAAGTCCAGCTCAGATTTTACTAGGCAACACTGTAGTAATTATAAAATGCAATCCATTTCACTGTTTTTTGTTGCTGCTTGCAAAGCTGGACATCTGCATTTCTATATAAGATAGTTACAAGTGGCTGGTATCAGTCCGCCTGATCAGCTGAGCCTCATTTTTCAATCTCTATATAATCACGCTGCAGGTAGAAGCAGAGGGATGAATGGGGCTATGTGGTTAGTTTGACTAAAACTGTCTTATTTAGCTTAATATTTAGCTAAATAAGACAGGTTATTGTTAATTCTGAAGCTGATAGTAAGAAGACCAACTAAAATCAAAACTGTTCTAAAGTCCAAATCAAATCTGATAGTCCTGAAACAGCCTTTGTGAAGGAGCTGAGTGGATGTTGTTACCACTGTTCAATAAAAAACCAGCTGAAGTCCAGGCTCTTTCCAGCACTCTTGCATGTCATCACAAATATTTCCTTTCTTATTTATTCCCATAATTTTTAGACCTGCAGCACCTCGAGCTGACAGTGTATGTTTGGTTGTGTGTTTGAAAGGTTTCAAAAGCTAAATGTAAATAATGCAAATTGACATGGTGTGTTTTTTGTGTTCTGGCTATTTGGTTTTGTTGACCAGACTGATTAGGTGCAGTTATCACGCCATGTTTTTACTTTACCACTGAGTATGATAGAATGGCAGAACAAAACCTGTGGTGTCCAAAGCAGTCAATGAATTTGATAGAAGCATCTTGTTTCCATGGTGATCTCAATATATCCATATTAACAATGCAAGTATCTATGCGGGCATGTATGACTGAATTATTCTTAAAATAAATGAACCTGAAACATCAAAAGGCATAGCAGCTGCAGTGTGTACATGGCAAAACAATAAACTGAACATGAGCCCAACAGGAAGTGATGTCATTATTTTCTAACAGCAAGATGGAGGTCATTATACAAAGAAATATACTTCTTTAAATTTTATCCCAAGTATTAGAGAAAACTACTAGAAAGGTCTGAATTATAAGCCCGATTTTGACCCCATTTTTGCGGTTTACAGCCTTCATATTTGATCGAACTCCTCCTAGGGATTTCGATTGATCGGCTTCAAACTCGGTCAGTCTGTTCATAAGGCATGTCCCATCTAAACTTATCAAAATGGTGAGTTTTTGAGTATGCTGAAGGGGGGTTAGCAGGGGTCAAGGTTCACCTATTTGCCATAAAAAAATAAACTGCTATATCTCCTACACAGAAACTCACAGAGGCACCAGAGTTTCTGTGATTGATCATCATCGGGTCTCCTACAATACCCTATGGTCGAATGATGACATCACTTAGGGCACGCCCCCTGAGAACAGAAAGTGTAATGTTTTACTGTGAACTGTCGCTATCTGACCTCTTTGACCTCATCAACATGAAACTGTGCCCAGACACAGAAAACATGTTGGTGTGTTGAGGATTCCAACCCCGACCAGCTTCGATGGAGCAGGTGGGCGTGGCGGCGTGGAGAACTTTGACTATTTGCTGTGAAACATCAAGACTCAATAACTTCCAAGATTACAGCTGCATAATATTTACTATGTCTTCCTGCAGAACAGTCCTGAACACATTTACATGGTCACTTGATGACATCACCTTCGCCCAGCTAACACCACAGCAGCCCATGAAATATAGGTTATGTTATGCAGGTTAACATATTCATTATTTAAATATACATTATTATAAGTTTTCGCTTTTTTATAATTTTGTTTTGTGGGTTACAGTACAAACAGTCATTGATTTTTGGTTAGAAATTATAGAAAGAAGATCATTCATCAGAAACCATTTTGCAAATTTGACACTTGGGGTCAGTATTACTCCACCAATGAAACAGACTGCCTTACACACACAGCTAAAGATGATGAATAATTATACCAGTATTTCACCAGTAGGGGTCAGTGTTACTCCACCAATAATAAAGATATTGAGGGAGAAACTGACTTTTTAGAGAAATAACTTCAATCACTGAGATTGCTAAAGATCACGAATAACTACATTTGTAATTCACCAGTAGGGGTCAGTATCACTGATTTATTTTTGTGAACCTCGAAAGAATACAGCATTAAATTGCTATTTCAATCCACTGTGCCCCCTTCAACATTTGTATTGGTTCGGCTTATACTGGACTGATAACTATTTGAAAGTCTCGCTTGTGTAGGAAGTTGCAAATATTTGTTAATCTTTCACACACAACTGTACGATATTGCCTTTATCTCTAAATAATTATTAATGGTGCTTCAAAGAAGTGGAAGACATCTCTATCACATGAACTTCCTGGGGCTTAGCTTCATGGACTAAATACATGAAAGCCTTATGAGCAGCAAAGTCATGCACAGATACATTTCTTTGATAAAAAAAAAATTTGAATTTGTGAGGAACTTTAAATATGCCAGTTTGTGCAATGATTCAAACTCATTACATGACTTTAAGTACTATATCTAAATTGAGGAAATAAATATGACACCAAAAACTTGATAAAATAATTCATGCGTAAAAACTCTTTTGGAAATTTTCCTTTAAGAGTGAGGGAAAAAAGTTTCAAGAACTAAAGAAGCAGAGAAAGAATATATTCTTAATCTGTATTTATTCCAAGTGCAAGTCTTTGCTCATTGATCCTCATCTGGAGAAAGAGCCTGGAGCAGAACACGGCTTATAGTTCTAAATGAAATGAAGGGAGACGTTCATTCCATCAACATAGTTTGATAATCTACTTTGTTACAGAACAGAGACTGAGCACACATCACATCGTCTTTCACAAGGAGCCATGACAGATAAAAACAACCCATTCACTTCATTGTAATCTTGGACTCAACAAGCCTGTTACAATTCACTAAAGTCATAAAAATGAATGAAAGGCATGTTGACCTGCAATAGATAAAAATAAAAAAAACTTATTTAAAAAATAAAAGTTCTGGAGCTGAAGATCCGAACAACGCTCGTGAGCCGTAACCGACTGTTGGAACAGTTTTATTGCCATTAATCCATGGTGGGGTGAGTAAGCCATTCATTCCTCATGGTTGTTCTCAGAGACGCTATCGTTGGAACTGCTGTTCATTCCAAGGACGAATGCTAACCGAGTTCACTGAGGCCTGCAACGTTTGTAAAGTTATCGGACTGCTTTACTAATTTAAGAAACTGAATAGTGTGCTTTATACATCAGTTTTATTCATTCAGCCTTGTTAGTTTGTTTTTATGTGTAGAACCTGTTTAAAGGTTTGTTTCGAACAGCTCTGCAATGATGCAGTTGTTCTCTATATATAGTGTACATAGACATACATACATATCTATATGTATATATAAAATATATATTTTAATATGTTATGATATATTTTTATAATAGATGATAATATAAAATTATCAATCCATTGGGGTTTTAATATTTACTTGTAGCACTTGCTGTGATTAATACCTAATTGTTCTAATGTGCTGATAGTTAACTGTGCTTTGTTAATGTGCATTGCGCTTGGTTTATCAATGATTTTTTTACCGGTTTATCAAACTGGTAAATCTTCAACTTTACCATTTTTCTTCCTCATTTTAGTACAAGCTTTAAGTTGCACTCCATTTAGATCTCACTTGTAATTATCTTCGTCTTGCTGTTGTTCACTTACACACTGTATTTAAAAAAAAAAACACACTGTTGCCAATTATTTGTCATTGTGAAGTATTTAATAAAGTGTAGGTCAGACAATCTGGGTACTGAACATAGGGAAAACTAGAACACTTTTCTCTGTTATTTATATGGATTTCATTCTTTGCAAAGTGATTTAAAATGATAAGATGATAAACTCTGTCATTGTTGGCTGCTGCCTGAACCGTGTGGGCGTGGCAAGATGGCGAATATCAATCCCTCGTCATATTCATACGATTGTCTTTAAATCACACATGGCTTATCCTACTGGCCCCAAACTAGATATGTATGACCTTTGTTGACCTCTAAAGAGCCCAACAGCATTGAAATGTAATTTGACTCCGCTACACCCCATAATCCATCAGATAAAACTCCTCGCTACAGCCACCGATCCGCACCAGATTTTTTGCGCATCATCACCGAAGTCACCTGTTATGCCGTTGCCTACGTTTGGCTCTCAATTCCACAGTTTTGGGCCGAGCTGCTCCAATCTCACTACGATGGGTCCTTATCCACTCCCCGACAGGAATCCATCACAAAATTTGGTGGGCGTGCCGTAATTTCTCTAGAAGACTTTAAATGGTCAGCCCCAAGCCATACTTTAACCTAGAATTACCAAACCTGGTACACATGTGTGTCATGTCAGGACGTAGAAAAAAATCTTTTGGACCCATGGTCTAAACCCAACAGGAAGTCGGCCATTTTGGATTAAAGACGTCATTTTCTCTTTGTTATACACGTGGTATCTGATGGAAGTCCTCCTATATTTTTCTGGTGCAGACTTCAAAATCACTCAGCACACACTTGAGGGATCATAGGTCAAAATATATCAAAGGATTTCTCATACATCAAAGCATGTGGGCGTGGCTAAGTGTGAAACTGACTATTCGTCATAAAACATCAAGGTAGCGTACCTTCAAAATGCAACATCGCAGCTGCATCAGACCTCCTATGTCTCTTTACAGACCAGTGCTGATAACATTCACATGGTGACTTGGTGACATCACCTTAGCCCTGTCCACTTCCAGTGGGAAGCAACATGTTTTTTAATCTATTGCATGATTTATGTGGGTTTAATGCTGTGCCAACAGACATGTAATGACATGATGATGAACTCTGTAAATGTTGGTTGCTGGCTAAACAGTGTGGGCGTGGCCAAATGGCGAATATCAATCCCTCGTCTTATTCATACGATTGTCTTTAAATCACACATGGATCATCCGACGAGCACCAAACTAGATATGTAAGGCCTTTGTTGACCACTAAAGAGCCCAACAGCATTGAAATGTAATCTGACTCTACTGCGCCCCCTAGGTTAACCCATCAGCTATATCTCCTCGCTACATCCACCGATCTGTACCAGTTTTTTTGCGCATCGTCAGGGGCATTGATGCGTACCGCCTAGTGGACAGGTGCGGAAACTGCGCAACAGCTTCTGCGGTGGTGCTGGAAAAAGCTTCTATGGTGGCTTGCAGGCGGCGGTGCTGGAAACTGCCTGAGAGATTCTGCGGTGGCTGGCGGGCGGCGGTTGCCCGCAGTGGCCAACAGGCCGGAGCGGCGCTTGGCTGCGAGGGCCGCTCGAGGCTGCTTTCATTATTATTCTGCCTCCCTAAAGAGGGGCCTTTTTGGAGGTTTTATCATATTCAAAAACTCACCAAACTTGGCTGAAGCGTCAAGGAGTTTCAAAATTTTGTATTTTCAGGTCATTGCAAAAATCGCAAAAGAAACAGCTCAACGACGCCACCTCGCAATTTTCAAAGGACTCGTTGCTATTCACTTACTTCATCGTAAAGACATGAAATTTGATACACTTGTAGAACTGCTCAGAATTTACAATTAATGTCATAGTCCAAGTTGCACAGTTTGACGGCCATTTTGGATTGAAGTTCTGATTTTGACCCCATTTTTGACGTTTACAGCCTCCGTATTTAATCGAACTCTTCCAAGGGATTTTCATTGATCGGCTTCAAACTCGGTCAGTCTGACCAACCTATCAGCCCCGCAACATGTGGCTTCAAATCGCACTTCTCTCATCGGCTGGGTTAAGACTCCGAAGACAAAGATGAAGACCACGGAAAAGATGAAGATCAAGGCAAAGATGAAGACCCAAGTCCTGTGTGACCTCACCATCGATGCAGAGATGGAAGCTCCTCAGAAACAACAGAGATCCCTGCCTTCGTCAATCAATCTCCTCCTCCTGCTGTAACACCTTTCATCATCAGACCAGTTCTGGGGTTCGAAACACCAAACTTCATCTCAAAGGTTCCCTTTTTAGTTCTTAGTATCAGCGTTAGGGAAAGATAGGCTAGATGATTAATTTTACTTATTTGATTATTTCTGCTACTTAATTAAGCTGTAGTGACCCTTGCAAAATTGCTTCACTGAGAAATATTTAGCATAAAGAAAATCTAAAAGACGTTGTGGACATTCAATTAACAAGTCATCTCAAAGTTCTTTGATGGTCATAAAATAGCTATGATGTTTGATTCTAGGGAAGAAAAAGTAATTTAAAACATTTAAAACAACATCCTTGGGTCACTAAAACCAGCCTGGTTCAGTAACAAGTGCAAGTTGTGATAAAGAGAAGGAGCGACCGTCAAACAGATGTGCTCTGTGAAACCAGTTGGCTGCAGGCTGCTCAGTCTGGCTAATTCACAGGGGAAGAAGGGTGGGACATCTGATGTAGGCCGTCAGTAACCAGGCGAATTCTTACTCCATGTCAGCTTAAACAGAGTTTACTTCAGTTCTGGACAGGGGGAATCCCAGCTGATTTAGGAAAACTCAATTCACCTGTTAGATGGAGAGCTGGTAGCACATCTCCCCTCTCAGAAGAGGAAGTCGTGACTGAGAGAGGAGAGAGTGAAGGAAGGGGGTGGGGAGGGGGGTGTCGCGACAACAAGTGGGATTTTCATGCAAAAAAAAAGCTAAATAAAGTAAATATAACCTACACAGCCATATAGTCACAGTGAGCTGTGACTATTCCCCCACATGGTTTGTGTCTGCACATGACGTATATTCATGGCCAGACATGAACTTGGATTTTTCTGTACATCGCGGTGAATCGTTGCTCCACGTTGGACCTGAATCCAGCATCCTACGACCCAACATCTACATACAACTTCAGCAGGAATTTGGGTTTACACAAGCTAAATAAATTGTTTACCAGGAGAGTCAAGCTCATAGAAATAACATGGGTTAGTTCATTGTTATCAAATACCAATTATTTAAAATAGTACAACTCACTACTCACCAGGTACAAACAAGTCAACAGCAATTTAATGCTTCTTTCAATCCTAAATGGTTGACCCGACCTGAAACTTTAATTTTATTCTCCAGGCATTTGAACATTTTCACCCGGCTCATCATATAATATGAGGTCTGCAGCTCCAGATAGTTGGTTACGTGGATCGTCTCAACATCCTCAAGATTATAAGACAAGTCTATTTTTCACTGAGATAATATGGATAATTGGCACAAATTTTTTCACAACACCTAATCTGTGCCAGCCTATTTACGGTATTATTGTACTTGCTGTGATCCATTTTTCTCTGTTTTGAATTGAAGAAATCCACTTCCGGACCTACATCTGAATTTCACACATCATCCAAGTCAAGTATCTGAAACCCAGGAGTAGCTGCAGGTGGGGTTGAATAGTAAATACAAACTGAAATTGATAAAAAATTTAAAAAATGCACATTTGGTCTAAATGACATTTTATTTCACATTTTTTGATGTACATTAGGCTTGGCCCATCAGTATATTGTAGAAAGTGTGACATAATTATATCAAATAACTCTGAATTTGTATAGACAAAACAACAGTCCAAAAATGAAGAATGATCAAAGGCCCTGAATGCATCATATTTGGAGCCCACTTCCCTTTAATCCCATGGCGTCACCGCAATGACAAGAATGTAGCATAATGAGAGCACTGGTGATGATACTCATTTCCTATTAAATGAATAACTAAATGATGAGTGAAGACCTAAACCAAAAGTTGTCGTGAGCTTGTACTTTGAACCAGATGCTGAGGAATGTTATGGTGAAGAACCAGAGCCTAAAAGAGGAAGTTATCAAGAGGAGCAAGCATCAATATCACATTAGAAAATTTAACAAATTTGAACAGAGAACATTTTCATCAATGCATATACTCATTGTATGAGAATATGCAAGACTTTAGAAATTCCATGTCTGCTTTCATTCTCACAGAACAGGCTTTCCCTTTACCTGCAGAGGGGGCGGCAGTTGAAGCTGACATATCAGGTTTTACTTGACTTTCCTTTTAGACAAATACCAAAAACACTTGGTGGCACTAGCAAACCAGAGAGCTGAATGGACTTTCACTTTAAGGATGGATTGAACAAAACAAAGCAAGCATGAGTCTAAGCAAAACAGATGGCAGTACTGAAAAGATACACGAGCAAGAAGGAGGTACAGTGTGTGACATTTTGGTCAATGTGCCTCACCGTTTCATAATATATGAATACATGGAATGCTAAAAAAATTAAGTTTCACATCTTTACACAGGCTATAAAATGACCAGGCAGCACCTGAAAGCTCTCCTGTTAAAACATACAGATGTAAAAGAGGTGAAACCAAAACTCAGCTAATAAACACACTACTGACAGAAACAGCACACATTCTCACTACAAAATCATAAATCCCTCCATTGACGTCTGTTGGCTTTTCAACATGAGTGCAGCAGCTGCAATATGTAAACAACACACTGAGGGCGGAGCTATAGCAAAGGATAGCAGGGATTGGCTTTGGGATGTTTGTCCACATGGTGGGTGGGGTTGGGGTTAGTCAGCTGTCTTGCTGGAGGCTGTTTGTGGTCCAAGAGTGTCACCTCAACTGCAACACAGGTCACATGATCATTAGATAAAACGTGGTTTCACTTGAGTCGTCACCATATGGTTGTGCACCATCTTTTCGTACTTGGAGGGGATGGTGAGTGAGCCGGAGCGATGGAAATGGATGTTCTGCCACTTGCTATCACGCCGGTGCCAGATGCGGGTCTCCTCAGACTGGATGGTACGCGGCATGCCGTTGCTGTCGATGTACTGTGTAAGGCGGATGTATGCGATGCAGGCCGCCTCGTCCCCGATCAGGTGGACGTGGGGGTTCAGCAGGATGGTGTGGATGGGCAGTTTTCCCTTAGACAGAGCTACGGAGAACAAAAGTAAACCAACCGGAAAACCTGAGAAAACCGATGAACCTACAGGCGATCTTAATCTTTGAGCAGTGATGTGATAAAATGGAGACCGGAGAATGGACAAAGTGCAGGTAGACTTTTACAAGAAAATTTGAAAATGCAAACATGAACATCAACCCGACAGTGAGCTCCAAGTAACCAGGTAAAGGCTACCAAAGCTGCAGTAGCCAAAACACTACAGAAGCTACCGTATCACAGATAGCAGCTAATTCTGTGAAATTCAGTCCGGTGCAAACTGTAAACCCGTTGATGTTTCTTTTAATGGCGGTTCAGCCATGTTTGCCTTCACTTTTACAACTTGAATAAGTTGGTTAAGCCATGAAATTAGCATATCATATCAAGTTCATTTTCCAGAACAGGATTGTTATACCTATATTACCATGAATGACTATGCAGTTATACAGAAATATTTATCTTGTGTCATCAGCATGCATGGCAAAAATTGTACTACTCTGAGCAAGGGAAATAATATAGCTATTGATTATATTAAAGTGTATAAATACTTTTTATACTAAACGGTATGCAATCACACATTAGCAGTATACACTCAACAGCCACTTTATTAGGTACACCTGTCCAACTGCTCATTAACACAAATGTTGAATTAGCCAATCACATGATTGGCTAACTTAATGAATTTAGGCAAGTAGACATGGCCAAGACGATCTGCTGCAGTTCAAATTGAGTGTCAAAATGGAGAAGACAGGTGATTTAAGTGACTTTGAATGTGGCTTGGTTGTTGGTGGTCTGAGTATTTCAGAAACTGCTGATCTACTGGAATTTTTACGCACAACCATCTCTAGAGTTTACAGAGAGTGGTCCAAAAAAGAGAACAGTTGTGGCAGTGGCAGTTCTGGGGCGCAAATGCCTTGTTGATGCCAGAGGTCAGAGGAGAATGGCTAGATTGGTTAGAGCTGATAGAACTGTAGCTCAAATAGCCACTCGTTACAACCGAGGTATGCAGAAGAACATCTGTGAACGCACAATACGTTGAACCTTGAGGTGGATGGGCTACAGCAGCAGAAGACCACACCGGGTGCCACTCCTGTCAGCTAAGAATCGAAAACTGAGGCTATAATTCACACAGGCTCACCAAAAGTGGGCAATAGAAGATTGGAAAAACGTTGCCTGATCTGATGAGTCTCGATTTCTGCTGCAACATTCGGATAGTAGGGTCCGAATTTGGCGTCAGCATCATGAAAGCATGGATCTGTCATGCCTTGCATCAACAGTTCAGGCTGCTGGTGGTGTAATGGTGTAGCGGACATTTTCCTGGCACATTTTGGGCCCATTAGTACCAAATGAGCATTGTGTCAACGCCACAGCCTACCTGAGTATTGTTGCTGACCATGTCCATCCCTTTATGACCACAGTGTTCTGATCTTCTGATGGCTACTTCCAGCAGAATACTGCACTATGACATGAAGTGTGAATCATCTCAGCCTGGTTTCCTGAACATGACAATGAGTTCACTGAACTCGAATGGCTTCCACAGTCACCAGATTTCAATCCAATAGAGAACCTTTGGGATGTGGTGGAACAGAAGATTTTCATCATGGATGTAAAGCTGACAAATCTGCAGCAACTGCCTGATACTATCATGTCAATATGGAGCAAAGGAATGTTTCCAGTACCGTGTTGAATTTATGCCATGAAGGATTAAATTAAGGCAGTTCTGAACAGGGTACTAGCCAGGTGTACCTAGTTAAGTGGCCAATGACTGTGGACTGCGCAAAAACATGACTTGTGAAAAGGTTACTGAAAAAGGTTTTGAAAAGACTTTCTCCTGGATGTTCATGTTCTGATCAGCTTTTCATTTCACAGCTACATAAATTTATCTCCTCTTCTGCACACTTACTTTCAGAAAAGTTCAATGTACTAGAGGTTTCTGCCTGATCCTTGTCTATTTGCTGCTCAGAAGTCATGGATTCACCTATTTGTATTGAACATGGAGCTTAGGGAGCTGAAGTACAATGGCAAAATCCTACTTGGCATGCAATTGGCTGCTGTTTCCAAACCATTCAATCCATTTATTGATTGTAACTCCAAAGAGCCACTAATGTAGATATAAACATTAGTGGCTATGGTCGTCTTAAAACTGTTTCCATTATGTATATTAATGTATGATAAGGTATATTTGTTGTTTGAACTTTTAAAATAGGCAGTCATATGAGTTTATAGAGGCAGTCTCAAATATTTCCAGATTTGAGCCAGATGTCCCCAACAACTGGTCGTAACTGGCCAGGGGTCTACTGTACAGCCGGACCTAAACAATACAATAAATATAGAAATATATGAGCTAGAATGCAGACTCTTATTTATTTTGAACAGACAATAAAAAGTAAAAAAGAAAAATATAAGAAACAATCATGCCAACAGACATGCAATTTCACATAATTTGTTTGAAAAGGAGCAGGCATAAGATGCAATAATTTATGATTTCCTGCCCTTCTCATCAACATACAAATATTTAAATCTCCCAACACCAGAAAACCTCTGAACTACTCATATGAGTCACAAGAAAAAAATAGTATATTGCCAACCAAGTGAGTGTGTGTATTTTTGAATTGGCCTTCCAACAAGAAACCTTGAACCCAGAATTTTCAGAAAGTCTTTACCATTTTCAAAATAGAAGCGGTGGAACTCTGTGCCTTCAACCAGGTTTCCCAAAGCCTCAGGTTCAAATGATGTGAGACCAGGGTCACAAATCTTCCTGAAATAGAACACCAGACAATTACCTTAGAGTTGCCCAAAGAGATAAAGTTACTCCAACACATGTAGACGTATGAAGGTGGTTGAACTCACGTGTAGGCCTCAAAGTCTCCGTTGTTGATGGCCTCAATCAGCTGCTCTGTCACTTTGATGATCTCCTGCTTACGGGCTGCAAAAGACACATTCAAGAAAGGTCCTGTTTGTTGTAAACTGGGAACTGAAACTCAAGTTGGAATTTTGAGCTTTATGAGAGCACTGATCCAACATTACAGGATGATCATGTTCAGGAAGGAAAGCTCACATCAGTTTGAGGCATGGCTCACATGGAGAAGAATGAATTAGAGACTGGTTGAGGTGAAGGAGATACAACTCAATACAACATCAACATTACCTTTCATGCTAAAGAGGTAAGCTAGGAGACAATGAATGCAAATAGTAAGTAGTGCTCGGATACACCATCCTTCACACAGAAACCTTTTGTACCTTGAACAGCTTCAGTGTCGTTTCCAGCTAACTGAACACTGACACTCTGCTGGCCGGCCACATGTCCAAGAATGGTCACAAAGACCAGGATACCACCTACTGATGACTGACGCATGCTTCTGCTGAAAAGGTGCGAAAACAAGCCGCTCCGCTGTCAGAGAACAGCCAACAGTAAGGCAGGGGAAGCGTCCTGCATCCGACACTTGCCCACCTTGTTTGTGACAAGCAATCAGAACCAGGCGGGCAGAACCAGCTGAAATACTGTCCGTCCCTCATGGACTTTACTTTGCAAATAAAGACACTACAGATAAGGTTGCTGACGCACATCCAGCTAAATAAAACAGCTCATTACAAACTCAAAGCCTTGAACTTTTAGACAGATGAAGACATTATGAGTTGTGTGAAGAAGAGCCACTTCCCAGTGAAAGAGGCTGGGCAACATGAAAGTATGTAACTTTCATGAAAATATATTTTTTACATATTTATCACCGACCAATCTGTCTGAAGAAATGGATCGCTCCCAACCAAAATCCACCAATCAGAGCCAGAAGGAAGCTATTAGCCCTGTCACTGAAACTCAAATGCTCACTGCTAGTTATGCCAATTGCAGAGAAGCAACTTACCTTTACAGGAAAAGTGTTTATCTGCTGTGATAGGCAGTCATGCTAAACAGTCTTAGCATTCACTACAGACTCTGCTGTGTCATAGCAGACAGAAAGTGGAGAGGAGCAGCAGCGAGCAAACAGGCCTGATTCATATAACTAAGACCCACCTCCTGACTCTGGTTGTTTCAAGTTAGTACTGGGAGCACTGGTAGAAGGGAGAAGAGCTCAATTTTTTACACAGATTATCAGTCTTCTATACTGTCAGCGCCTAGTGACAATTTCAAGAAATATGCAAAACAAAAAACAACTTTTTTTGTAAAAGTTAGATACTGCAGCTTTAACATTTTATCAAAATATCTTGTGGTGGTGAGAAGAACCATTTAGTAATTCTTTTGTTGAACTCAATTCACTAATACTGATGTCATGTTCCTGACAGAAACATTGTTGGGTGAAAATAATAAATCACCTGTATTAATTGAGTCAGCGCCTCTAATCACAATTTTCAAGTGACAATAGAAAACATAAAATAGGAGGAGTGGTCAATGCAATACTTGAGGATTCGCTGAACTGTGAAAAATGTCTTAAAAGGCATAAAGGAGCTTTAAGATCTTTTTGACTTTTGAGCAACAGGGAATTGAGCTAAAAACACAAACAACCTTTGACAGTATACAAAACCCTACATATGTGGAAAATTTCTTCATTGGCTTTAATGAGCTTTTATTATTAAAAGATCATTAAAGCTTTTAATAAGCTTTAATGATCTCATTAAAGCTCATTATTAAAAGCTTTTATTTATAAAGATTTATGAAATAGACAGCTGATTCATTTTGTAATCAGCTGTTGTATCCATATGGTTTTCAATGTGTTACCTTTTGCAGCTGAAACTATATGAAAGTCTAACATGCATCGTATGAGATGCATATGGAGCATCTAATATTATGCTCAATATGTATCAATTATGACTTAAATAATTGTGGGAGATTTCAACACCCATGTTGACAAGCCTGAAGACAGATGGGCAAAAAGCTGTGATATTTCTGAAAATGTTGGTCTAATTCAGCATGTTTAATAAATTGTGAAGAAGTTTTATTCGTATTAAATAGTCTTTACTAAATGGTTCTTCCTTTATGTGTCATATAAATGTAATGTTCTTTGTATCACAGTCAAGGTGTTTTTTTGTGCAGCTGGGAAAGGTGTACAAACTAATGAACCAAGATGTGTCTACTGAAGCAAGTTTCCCAGAGTTGCTGAACTTCCCCAGACAGTTATTTGGGAACTCGCTGTTTGACCTTCCCTCTATGGAGATAGAGTGTTTAGTTTTCACATCCCGTAGACATTACAGTGAATGAGCATACAAGGTTCCGCATGTTTTCCTTTGTCTCCTTTGTTTGGTCTTAGAAGATTGAGTCTCTGCCTCGGTAGTAAAGAGATGAATAAAGTAACTATGAAACTCTGGGTTCATCAGAGCGGATCCTAATTTGTGCCTGATGCAGTGGATTTCTTGCTCTCCGTCTGCAGATGTATTAAAGATTGTTTTTGCTCCCTGACTTTTGTCTGGACCTCAGTCTCTGAATTGTGCACTTCACAATATACAATATATTCAAGGAGATTGGAAATATGCAGCCCTTCCAAGGCAACATGGGGAAAACCCCTTCAGATACTGAATGTCTTAGGTCCATCCATCCATCGTCTGCCGCTTATCCAGGTCGGGTCGCAGGGTTAGCAGCTTAAGAAGGGAGGCCCAGACTTCCCTCTCCCCAGCCACTTCTTCCAGCTCCTCTGGGAGATTCCCAAGGTGTTCCCAGGCCAGCCGAGAGACATAGGTCGGGTAGATCATAAATTTCAATCTTCCCTAAAGTCTCTCCGATACAACTGAGGTCCCAATTATCCAAATTACTTTGGTCGTTCCACTGAACAGAAACTAATGACTTCTCCAAGCTCGATTCCATTGAAAAGACTGGATACGGACTTCCGCTTCCGGCATGCCTGAGTAAAGACGCTTACGGACTGCGCTCCGACCGAAATAACTCTTGATTTGCCTGTTGCAAGAATATAAATCCACCTATATATCCAGAAGACGTTGATACAATGACCTCGTCACAAAAGACTACAAGAAGAGAACAGAAGATGGGGAAAGGCGATGATACGAAGACGACACAAAAACAGCTAACACTGGATGCTAGCTTAACTCAGAACGACATGGGGAGTGAGCTGCTAATGCTAAAAGAGCTCCGCAAATTCCGAGAAGAGTCTGGAACTGCGCAACGAGATATTTTAGAGTCTCAAACCCGGATGGAGGCGTCAATTGGAGAAATAAAAAAGAGAATAGACACACTGGAGGAGTGACTGAACACAGCGGAAGAGAGAGTGAGTCACACAGAGGACCGAGGCATACAACAGGAAAGGGTGCTAGCGTTCCTACTCAAGAAAGACGCCAGATTAAGCGCTAAGTTGGATGATCTAGAGAACAGGATGCGCAGGAACAGTATAAGAATGTACGGGATAAAGGAAGATTCTGAAGGGAAAGAGATGATCCCGTTTATTACAGATCTTTTCAAATCAGCGCTGAAGCTGCCTGAAGACACGGAGATTTGCATCGAGAGACGATCAGAGCTACAGTCCAGAAGCCGAAACCGACATCACCACCGAGATCCATAATAGTTCGCTTTGGATTTCAACGTTAAACAGATGATGATACTGCAGCGTGCGTGGAAGCAGCGAGACGTGGAGTTTCGGGGGAACAAAGTTTACTTTGACCAGGACTACTCCACTGAAGTGCAGAGAAAAAGAAAACAAGTGCATGAAGTGATTAAAAAACTGAAGGAGCGCAACATCAAGGCACAATCACCATACCCGGCTCAACTTAGACTGTTTCTGGATCAGGGTGTCAAGACCTTCTCCTCTCTACTGGAGGCGCAATCCACTCTGAAGGAACTCGGGATCCCGGTGGAGGTGGATGAGCGGGACGTCCTGCAGAGAGAGCTACTACGCAGCCATTGGCAGACCCAGGGGAGACGTGAAAGGGCCGATCCGAGTCAGGACATCAGGGCCATATTGAACTTAGCGGATCAGCACAAGCAGGGATGAGATGGTAATGCTCACATGGTTCTGCCCCAATTTAACAGATAGTTTAATCAAAGGTGGATCATCTAAGATCATAAATAAGGACATGCAGGCATAAATATATACGAATATTTCTGGACTGTCGGTTAGCGTGGACGCAGTGAGTGCTTTATATATTTTTTCTTTTTCTTTTAACTGTGCATTTAGCGCAGCAGAATAGGAGGTTATGTGGACTGTTGCTTACACACTATGTGTACTCCGCCCAGGGAGACACTATCCCTGTCCATTTTCCACCAGGAGTGTGCTGCCCGGGTTATCCATGAGGGCAGCACATGGAATAATTGGAAGTTCTATGAAGATGAAGATCTGACTACTTGTTCGTTCTGTTCATTGTTTCTCGGCGAGCTGATCTTGACTGTTAGATATATTTGCACAGATATCAATATATTACTGAAGGGAAGTAAAAAAATGTTTTTTGTTTTCACATAAATATGACAACTTTGAAAATTGTGACTTACAATATTAATGGAATAAATAACGCTATAAAAAGGAAAAAAATCCTAACGCAATTAAAAAGGTTGAATTGTACAATTGGGCTTTTGCAAGAAACCCATTTGAATGAGATAGAACATGCTAAATTAAAGAGAGAGTGGGTGGGACAGATATTTAGTGCATCCTATGGAAACCATAAAAAAGGGGAGTAGCAATACTATGTCATAATTCTTTATGCTTTGTAGCAGAAAACGTACTCAAGGACAAAGATGGCCGCTGGATAATGGTTGTTGGTTCAGTTGGAGGAACCACTCTAACAATTATGAATATTTACGCCCCAAATGAGGACAATCCAGGTTTTTTGTAAAGAGCTAGCCCAAATTTTAGCAGGACATTCGAAAGGAATGATTATTTTAGGTGGAGACTTTAATTGTGTCTTGAATCATTACATGGACAAATTTCCATTAGAACAAAAATATCAATTATCAAAAACTAAGGCGCTGAAGAATCTACTAGAGGAGCTGGG